GAAACTACTCAACAGATCTTGATGAAATCTAACATATAGAACATAGTCTGGAAGAACACATAGGCTACTTATTAAGTGTTATTAATACCGCGCAGACGGAGTCGAGTGTGACAGCTTGTAATACGATTATGTACATACGTCGACTTTTTATTTAACTGACAAGATAGATAAAGGTTATCGTGTGTAACTCCACTCGTGCACCCCGCATCACCTCCGCCCGTCTCGCCACACGAGCAAAGAGTTGACGAATCAGCGTACGCATGGTCATTCGTCAAATTAATATTGTATAGTTGCGTCGCGTTCCGTACACAGACCGTTAAATCGTCGACGCGATTCTATTCTGACAGTACAAACATAAACACAACACGTTAACTAGATGTCGCTCGCGTCTCGTTCGCGCGAAATTAAAAATAACATAATTATTAGCCTATTGTGTTGTTATATTTGCCTATATAGTATATACTATGTTCTATATCCTTTCCAAATTTCATCAAGACCTATTCAGACTGGATACATCCATCTAAACATTCGTATTTGTTTCGATAATTGCTTTTTATTTTCTTTCGCGAATTTGATATGTATAGATTAAAGCTTAAAACAAATGAGTTGTATTTAAAATACGCGCGTAAAAAATGTGCCTCTCGCCATAAAATTGTATCATGTTATTTGCAAACGAGTTTAAAAACTTGTTAAGTCGGAAGATGCACAACAAAAATGACCTTGACTAAAGTCAGTTTAATGTTTAGAATTTGATTTCTTATATGCAATGAATTAAGTAAATAATTTTACAAATAACAAATTAATACGACAAAGTTTTTGATACGCGTAACATTTATTATTATTAAAAAAGAATTAAAACCAGTTTATCCTGGTCTTGAAGACAACAAATATACAGAGTGATTTTAAATAGATTAATTTTATTATAAACTAGCTGTATTAAAAACTATATTAGTAGTCTATGTGTTCTTCCAGACTATCTTCTACATCTAAGCTAAATTTAAGCAAAATCTATGAAGCCGTTATGGAGATACATTCTAACAAACATCCATCTAAACATTCGCATTTATAATATTAGTACTTAAGGATTAAAAAGATAAACTTATTATCAAAAAACTGCAATACTGCAGTTTTAAAAACATTAAAATGTTTACTTTGAAAAAATATACGTTGATTTGTAAATCTCAGATTACTTTACCTAAAATTGACTACAATAAAATGGTTCCCTTTTTATGTTATTTGCATCAACCTGTATAATGAAGTTATTTGATAGGATTTTAACGCAGACCGTCCGCGTCTATGTTTCTTGAACGACGTATTTACGCGGACATGAGGTCAATAAAAAAACTTTTAATATAAACAAAGATAAATTCATAGTTTTTTTAATATGGAAAAAGTGTGGTGCGTGATTTTCTTGTGTTTAATATATTCAGCATTTATATCCACACAGGAAGAAGGTATTTTTGTGTTTTATTTAATATTGAGGAAAATATTGATAAAGATATACATTTTGAGGTTATGTTCTCTCTACTAACATATTGACCTTGGGCGTAGTTTGTTTTTTAATTTATTTTTAGGAGTGTTCTTTATAATTTAAGGAAAAGAGTTAATAAATAAATGTAAAGTTCGATTTTAATATGTTCATTTATCCGATGTTCTTACGGTGAAGGAAAACATGGTGATGCTGCACAAATCTGTGAAAGATATGTGTGAAGTGACGCACTGGACCAACATTCACTATCACTTAGGGTAGACTCCGAGACCCTCAGTGGGACATATAGTGAGCTGAAGTCAGCAGGTCTTTTTTTAAATTTCCACTTTGTTATTCATAATACAAAAGTACTATTCGAAAAATCAATTCTCGACTATACGTCAGACTTGAATTAAACACTTTAGGTCTTACTAAAATTAGACAATGTTTCAAATACATTTTAACCGACTTAAAAAAGCAGGATATATGAATAAAATAACGAAAATGAGCCATTGTATTGACTAAACACTAGCCTTACTAAAATGTCGACGTTTATGACCTCTCACTATTCATTCTGACACTGGACTTTGTAACAAAAGCACGTCATTCGCGCCAAAAAATTCAAACTAATAATGTCTAAAATTATCTATTATTTTAAGGTGAAGAATGTGAATTAGAAGAAGCCGAAGGTGTTTTTGGAGAGTGTAAACCTCTATACATGTGCAGTTACGCCAGTCGACTGGTTAATAAAGAGATTAAACAGCCAACGGTGAGTATAACCAAGTAGACGTCGTAGAGTGTAATATGTGTATAGATGATTCGTGTAATTATCTACAATAGTCTAATTGTAACTATTTAGACGACGCGACGGAGAGTTTTAGTGTAACTTTACACGTCAAAGAGTGTAACTGTAACAATGTAGACGTCAGAGAGTGTAATTATAACTATGGAGACGATGATAAATGTAATAATAACAAAGTAGACGATGGAGAGTGTAATTCTTATTGTCAGCAAGAGTGTAGTTTTAATTATGTACACGTAAGAGAGTGTAATTGTAACTGTACACACGGCGGAGAGTGTAATTATAACAAAGTAGACGACAGAGAGTGTAATTATAAAAGAGAATGTGTAAACTACGATAAGTGTATCGACAATTATCCCACGAATGTTTTTCTATAAATATACTAGAATATATTTGACTATTGTATTACAGGTGTGCTTCATCAGCTCAACCGGTATAACATACGTATGTTGTCCAAAAACTTTATACAAAACAGGGATACTTGGACGAACATTCTTCGATTCTATAAATGGACGACTGATGTATGACGACATTGTACGTAAGATTTTTTTATTCTTTATATGATAAGGTCCCTGACTGTTACCTGTAGGTGAGACCGCACCAGGTTTTCCCCTAGATCAGTCTCTTTCTGGGTCTACTCCTACTGATGTTCATCATCCACTGACCTCGGAGTCTCCCCTAAGTTAGGGGTGACTAGGCCATAGTCAACCACGCTAGCCAAGTGCGGGTTGACTACACACATATCTTTGAATTTCTTCACAGATATGTGCAGCATCAAGATGTTTTTCCTTTACCATAAGTCGGATAAATGTATTATACCTAAAACACATTGGTACATGGCTGGATTTGAACCCAGAACCTGCAGATTACAAGTCAAGTGCTTAACCACCGAATTTTTTCGACTTAAATTCCACTGTCTACATCCAGGACTGTCGCTACACTGGGCAATTCCCGTTGATTTGCTGCAAAAGGAAACCTATTACGGCGTCTCCACGTCTTGACAATCGTCTCGGAGAGGATTGCAATCGCCAACATAATACAAAGACAACTGAAGCCTGTAAAGGTACGCATACATCAGGATAAAAGTTTTTTTTTTATATCATAAGGTGGCAAATAAGCGAGCGGCTATCTGAAAACACTTCAATAGCGATGCGATTGCCTATAGCACAGAAAGAGAATGGTTTCAATTCCCATGCATCCCCTTATCCAGAAAATCATTTCCACTACCCATCTACTTATAAGAAATAGGATGGGAAGGGATAGAGGACAAAAATAAGGCTTCCGGGACGCACACTGATTAGACTGTAGTTGGAATTTCTTCCACTTGATGCCTGTCTTTCTTTTCACTTGTGCCAATTCGTACGAAGATGTTATAGCGGGCTCTATTTTTGATTTTCTTACTGCGCTCTTAATCCACGTAACAGTGGTAGAGCCAACAACATCTCTTGCAAGAACTTACCACGACCACATAGAACACCCTCAAGTGGAAGCAATTTCGCGTACAGTCTGATTGTGTCGAATGCTTAATTATAGTCCACTTTCCATTTCTTATAAGAAAAGGATGGGAGGGGACGTAGATTTGATGAAGAAGGGAACGCAAAGGAAGGAAAAGATCCTCTTTCTGTCTTCTGTCCTCCAACCCTCGTCCTTCATCTGCAATTGCAAATGTTTATGGGTATATATCGATGTTTTCCTTCACCGTAAGAACTTTAAAAAACACATACATACATGATGGAGGTCGAACCTATTATAGTAGTCTGGTGCATTACGTTATGGAGGCTTTAATTGGTTAGTTAATATTCATCATCAGCTCACTAAGTCGCCACTGAGGGTCTCGGAGTCTACCCTAAGTTATGTGACTAGGTCATAGTCAACCACGCTGGTCAAGTGCGGGTTGACTTCACACATATCTTTGACATTCTCAGATATGTGCAACATCAACATGTTTTACTTCACACTAACAACATAAGATAAATGTATTTATGTAACACATTGGTACATGGCGGGATTCGAACCCAGTACCTGCAGATTGCAAGTTAAGTATTTAACCCCTATTAGCTAATATATTTAATGGGTTTGTTCTAGCATGCTACACATATCAGAAGCCTCGCAGTTCAAATATAGTCTGTCCTGAAGAGGCGGGCAATAGAATTGCTGGTGGTGAGCCAGCGGAGATTGAACAGTTTCCGCACATGGTACGTATGCAGTGGTAGAGTAGGCATTTTTGTGGTGAAGGGCCCCGCGAAATAAAAAAAAAACATAATCTATAGTCTATGTGTTCTTCCAGACTATGTTCTATATGTATACCAAATTCAGCCGTTCTGGAGATACCTTCTAACTTATAATATAGTCTGGAAAAGCATAGAGTAATAATTTAGTTTTTTTTAAGTATTAATCCATCTATATAAAAGAAAGTGGTGTTAGTTACTCTATTTATAACTCAAGAACGGCTTTACCGATATGCCTGAAAATTGGTGAGGAGGTAGGTTAGAGCCAGGAAACGGACATAGGATACTATTATATTTATTCTTTTTTTTTTCGAATTTATACCTTATAAGAGCTTTTTTTTATTTAATTTACTAATGTTATAAATGCGAATGTTTAGATTGATGTGATGTGGATGGATGGATGGGTGTTTGAAGATATCTTTACAACGGCTGAACGGATCTCGATTAAATTTGGCATACGTATAGAACGTAGTCTGAAAGAACACATAGGCTACACTAATTAAGTTTTTTATATATCCACGCGGACACAGTCGCGGGCGACAGCTAGTAATGTTATAATTTTCATTTACGTATTACACAGAAATCATGGTTGAAGTTAACCTTTTAACCGCAGGTAGTGTTAGGAACTCGCGTGGAACAAAAGGCCGATTCGACATCAGCTGATATTGTATGGATTGGTGCAGGCACTTTGATAACAGAGACGTTTGTGTTAACAGCAGCTCATGTACTTCATTCGCAAGATAAGTAAGTCTATTCAAGATGGATCAGTTTGACAAGTGACGCCTATAGACTCGAATCAATTTTGTATGAGGATTAATTTTGTACTTAATGGACGGTTGTCAAAGTGTCGGAGTGTACAGTCAACGTCATATAGATCGTGTAGCATTCGTTGTGCTATATTTGGCTCGTTCACGTACCGACACGTGCTACCGGTCCAAAGGTCTGACATCGACTGACCCCCACTCTCCGGCATGTACTTATGACGTACGCTCGAGACAAACAACACTTCGTTTACGCATACACTACAGATCGTAACAGACAAGATGTGCAAATATATTAATTATATCGGTACAACAAAAGTCCTCAAAATAATAGATACATTCACCCTGCTCAAATACATCGGTACATACACAGCGTCAAATATATGAGTACATGCAAGATGCCTATAAATATGTACAAATCCTACAAATGTGTACTATAATTTAGGTATTTTATTTTTGAATTTATTACAGTTATTTGGTTATGTATCACACAATTAAATAAAATAATATTATATAATATTCCTTTTTTATTCTATATAGTTTTGATGAAGTTGTCACAACAATTAATCCTCATACATAATTAATTCTAAACTTCATACACGTCAATTGTCAAACTAAATTGTCAAACTATCTTAAATAGACACATTGATTTTTCTCTTACAGCGGCAAGATCCAATATGCTTTGTTGGGTACGTCAAATAAAAAAAACGTTAGAGATGGCATTTTGAGGTTTATAATTCAATGGATACGACACAAAATGTATACCGTGGGTTCTCACTACCATGATATCGCGTTAGTCGAGTTGGATTACAGGTAAGCAAGAAATGTCATCATCATCAGCTCACTATACGTCCCCACCGAGGTGCTCGGAGCCTACCCTAAGTTCAGAGTGATAAAGTAAGAAATATCAGTGACAAAGAAATTTAAAAACGTATAATGTTGCCATTATAAATGTCACTTAGTAATACAGTAGTAATTAGAAGTTTACACATGGCAACACTGTACTAAAATATTTGGACACGTCAGTAGTACAGCCACGCGGCCACAACGGAAAACAAATTGGAAAACGAATGAAGCAATATCTAAATCTATTTTTCTAATTCTATTTTCTAAGGAGCGTCGGTGGGTCAGTGGTCAAGCACTTGACTTGCAATCTGCAGGTCCTGAGTTCGAATCCCGCCATGTACCAATGTGTTTTTCCATTTCCGATTTACATATGTACATTTATCCTATGTTCTTACGGTGAAGGAAAACATCGTGATGCTGCACATATCTGAGAAGAAACTCAAAGATATGTGTGAAGTCAACCCGCACTTGACCAGCGTGGTTGACTATGGCCTAATCTCCCTTAACTTAGGGTAGACTCCGAGCCCCTCGGTGGGGACATACAGTGAGCTGATGATGATGATTTTTCTAATTATTAAGGGTTGCTATTTTTAATTTGTAAATCGTTAAACATATTTTTATTATCAACTTATTTATATCCCTACCGAGGTCAGAAGCTACTTAAGTCAGTGACTAGGTCATAGTCAATGTTGGCCCAGTGCGAGTTGAATTCAGACATAAATTTGAATTTATTCTAAGCGGGGCTAGACAACATGCGTTCGGTCCGAAGCCATTCCATAAATAACTTCAAAAATGTATAGAACTGGCACTAATTTTCATAAGTCACGTAATTGTCGTGCGTCAGCTCTATAGATTTTTATAGTTCGTTATACCTTCGAAGCGAGCACTTTGTCTAAACCTTATGTTCAGGTTGCATCACTGTAGTGTATGCATAAACGTAGTGTTGTTTGTCTCGAGCGTACACGCCATAAGTACATGCCGGAGAGAGGGGACGTCAGTCGATGTCAGACCTTTGAGCCGGCAACACGTGTCGGTACGTGAACGAGCCAAATATAGCACAACGAATGCTACAATCACGATTTCCCTTCACTGTATATTTTACTCTGACATACAACCTATGTATCCGGTAATAGGGTACCATTATCAAAATTCATACGACCGGCATGCCTGCCAGTGGAGGGGATAGTACCAGACAAAATCCCCACCCTGATGACAGTAGCCGGCTGGGGAAGGACCGGTCAGTACGCAGATGCTTCCCAAAAGCTGATGCAAGTAAGTTATTTTTTAATATTAATTTTTAGCTAATATCTTTGAATATACTAGAGAAACAGACAGTCGAAATCCTCTGAAAGTATTTCCACAAGCAAGATAGTTTAGAAGTTATATTTTTTTATATTGAATAAGCAAGTGCTAGACCACGATAACGTAGTCGAAAGATGTTGAAACTTAGTAAATGTCTATACACTCTATAGAAGTGTCTTATATTCTCTAGTTCGTTACAAAACGGGGATTCGGAATTGACAAGTCCTGTCACTTAAAATTCAAAGATTACAATGCCCAATATTGTGCCTTAAGTCAGTGACTAGGCATCAGTTAACACGCTCCCATTGCCCTAAGCTTACATCGTTGATTGTCTTGACAGATATTTGCAGTATTATGATGTTTCCTTTATCATAATCTACTTGATAGTTTCTTCATGATACTTTCCAGGGTGATATGCAAATTCAAAGCACTCACATATGTCGCAAGGGTCTACAATCGAAGTATAGTATATGGGATCCAAATATTATGTTCTGTGCCAAAGCTGAAACAGCGGACACTTGTTATGTAAGTAGCTGTCGCCCGCAACTCCGCGCGGTGTTAAAACAAAGTTAATTAGTAGCGTTGTTCTTCCAGACTATGTACCAACGCTTTGTTTTACAGGGAGACAGTGGTGGTCCATTAATGTCACCTCTTAAAGAAAATTCCATGCTCTGCGGATACTATGTGGTGGGGATAGTGTCATATGGCACAGTTTGTGGTGTTAACTCCACTGGGGCGTACACAAAAGTGACAAACCAAGGCTACTTAGAATGGATATCAAACATTGTTTGGCCCACTAGGGTGCGACAAAATAAATAGTTGTTAGGTGGCCAAAAACTAGTCCAGGTACCCTTTCTACCTTATTCTTATAAGGGAAAGATAGAATGGGAAAGTGGAATTAACAAGGTAGGGAAAAATTACTCTTTCTCTATGACCTCTGTCCATTAAAACTAGGCAATTTTTCAATAAATTTTTAAAATAAAAAAGTTTTCATATTAATATCAAAGTGTACATACATGCATGTTAAAAACTTGCTTAATAACAAATAAATAAAATAGCAGGATATTTGTTTTTTTTATCCCTTACAATTAAACACATTCATTTAAGTTTTGGGCCACCAAATACCATGAATCCGAAGTTTTTACCTAACTCAGAAGCGTAAAGTACTACTTTTATTTTTCTCTATGGCTGAACAACTGAATCGATTTTGGCGAGTGAAGTGTCATTCGATTCATAGCAGTCACTCGGGTTTTTTTAATCTATAATTAACAAATACATAGTGCTTTTTAGTACTTACTGACGCGTTCGACACCGTCGCGGGATAGAAGATCCTTAATAAGTAGCATATGTGTTCTTCCAGACTATGTTCTACATCTCTGCGAAATCTTATGAATATCCGTTAAGCCGTTCCAGATCTATCTTCTAACATCCATCCATCTATTTAAACTTTCGCATTTGTAATATTAGTAAAATGATACGAACATTCAATGTTGGTCGAATTTAATTTATTCTATAATATTTTATTTTTTTTCTACCAAAAAGTACATAGCTAGAGATAGCAACACTGATAAACATCAGGCAAATTCTAGCGCCAAATTTGAAATACGAATATAATTTCGTAGTACGATATTAGGTACTGTAAATTGGTAGTAAAGACTGACGTAAGTTTTTTTTCAAATTCAAGATATTAATTTGTTTCTTATTTTCTCATCAAAAATGTTTTCAATTAGATATTATAGGAATCTTTTTAATTTGTAATAAGCTTAAAACTTACCCAGAACAGAATTTATTATATGGCTTTTTAGCATAAGCTTTTTATTGTGATTTCATTAAACATTCATTCAACAAAATTAAACAGATTTATTTCTTGTCATACGCTTTTTTATTGGACGAATAGTATTTTGTATTGTTACAAACTTAATATAATTATATTTAAAAACATTCTAGAATAACAAAACACTCTTTTAAATCAAAATTATTTACAAAATAAGTGGGTAAATTAATATTCGAAAATATTCAAGTCATAATGCCGTCGGCCTTAAAGAGATAATGCGACTAATTTAAGAAGCGCACAGGTGGCAGGTTTTGAAATCGATTTGTTTATCTCTTTCAAATTTCGTCGTATTATTTGATAAACGGGTCGCGAATGATGTCATACCAAACCAAGCTTATTTTAAATGTGACGTAGTTTTTCACGTATTCGTAAGCCGTGTCACGGACTTGTTAGTTGTGTGCTGGAAAAACTAACCTTTTTACACGCGTTTTAGTGATTTTTGAACAGAAAGGATCAAGGATATGTCTTACTATCAACACAAAACGGCAGGTACGGTTTACTTCTTTACTTTAACAACGAATTCAAGCGTTTATCACTTTTAAAACCATATTTCTCCAATAGTATAGCATTTAATCACTGATCCTTATTTCAATAGACCATAACTGCGATGGAAATTTTACTTTCTCCTGGCAAGGATATCGATTTTCTTAACTCGTAGTTATCATGGAGGAAGATTTTGTATAAATTAATATAAGTGCACCCAAAGTATTGACACGTTGAAATCGATTCTAAAATAAATGAATATTATTTTAGAATCGATTTCAAAATAAAACAAAAAGATGCACTTATTATAAAGTATGGAAAAATGAAAATCAGCAAACAGCTGTTCATAAGCAATGTCATGTCGCAAGACGTTTTGTTCTTGCTGTTATTCTATTATAAAAGCGCATAGAGATATAAAAAAGTGTTAAATAAAATTATTTAATAATGAAATAGTAAAAAAAAATACAATAATATTAAAATAAGTAAAGATTTTTTTAAATTGAACGTTTAAAAGTGAAAAAAATATGAAGTGTTAATAAGTGGTCGGCCATTGGTTGAAATTCGAACAATCCATAATCAAAGATTCTTATTTTTATTGAATATGGCGTTTTGTACTTTTTATTGCATTTTATTAATATCACATCTAATGTTTAATTACGAAAATCTGACATGATTACTAGAATTTATCCTAAACGCTATTCGTAAACAATCCCAGATATTCCCAAACTTGTTCCCCGTTAACCATAGACTTTATTTCGTAGTTTAGGCGAACCCTTGCTGCTACATTTCTTCAACTTATGAACTCTCAGCTGTATTTTCCCCCATCGTACACCCTCAACATTTTTCTCATGGGGTGTTCACCTGGACCACAGTTGATTAGGGGGTCCACCTGTAACATAATGACTATATTTTCATTTAATTCAATTTATAAATGCACAGAATTTTTTCAATGTCCATACCTCTTAAAATAAGCGCGCTGATTACGAAACGAACGATTTTTTTTAAACCAACATAAATACTCTTTGGTCACTACTTCTTACTTCGGCCTACAAAGTGTTTGTTGATGTTTACCACATAAGTAAACATGTCTGCGTTTACTCTGTCTACCGGCTTGACCTAGATTTTTGAGGTTATTACATTCTTTGAGCGAACAAGCTGATTTTATTGTTGCATCAACACGTAAAACAAAAATGCTCTAATATTAAGAAATAATCTGATTTTAAAAACACTTTTAGCATTTGATAACCTAATTATTGAAGATATTTGAAATTTTTATCGTACTTTGAATCTGAATACGAAACTAACCAAGTTGTATTGTAATATTGTCTTTAAACTGGAATGGTTTTGACTGGACTTTCACTGGAAGATAACTTTGATGCTGGATTACTATAGTCTACTTATATTTTTTACAAATAACTTTTAAACATATAACTTTAAGAGTACAATACGGATAAATTTGCGTCCAGATGTGTAGTGAAATTGCGACCCCGTATAAAGCATGAACTATTGAGAATTTGAGACATACTTTTTAAGGCCCTTTCTTTCATTAAGAAAATGTTTTAACCCTGATATATGTAACACATAAACTGATAAATAAACACGGCTAAACACTCACGTATATTCGTCCGGTGGCTGGTGAGCGACGGGCCGCGTCCGCGAAATAATACCAGTACCACTCATCCTGATGAAGGGCCCTCGATGGGCTTGAAACTAGTCGGTGCCGCCACCGGACGTATATACTGCACTGTTTAGCCGTGTTTATATATCAGTTTAGTATAATGTCTCATGAAAGTTTGAATAATTTAATGTAACACATATATGAATTTTATCTTCTTCCATGTGAAATAATCACAAAAGCCTTTGTATTATAGATAAGAAATGATTGCATATTGTGACATTGAATATGTAATGCGGGTCGTCAACCGTCGCGATTTCCTAATTATAAACTGAAAAAAAACCCAGGCTATTAAAATAAACAGTAAACCCGATTATTGCCAGGTAAAATATAAAACTAAAGTTTCTGGTCACACTAAAATCAACCCTGGTCAGACTTGGTCCTTATAAACCGGATTTTAATCCAAATCCTTCAATTGATAAGTACAATTTACGTTAAAGCTCATAAATTCCAGAATATTTCATCTCAAGACACTTCTCAAATAACTTAATACTATTAGGCACCTTTATTTTACAATGTTACTGTTTTTTATCTCACAATTTTGTAAAAAAAAAACAAAATAAGTCAAACATAACGTCATCGTATCGGAATTCCGTATTAGTCTTCCCTACGTAAGTTATCTGTTGGATCGAAACGAGTCATCATCAGCTCACTATATGTCCCCACTGAGGTGCTCGACGCCTATCCTAAGTTATTTGTCTAGGTCATAGGCTGACCCAGTGCGTCACTTCACACATATCTTTGACATTTCACAGATATGTACAGCATCACGATGTTTTCCTTCACATTAACAACATAGGATAAATGTACATATGTTAATCGGTATATGGCGGGATTCAATCCCAGGAACTGCAGATTACAAGTCGCTCTAGAGTACTAGTTTCCAAATTATATATCGTATACTACAATTATCACTAAAGTGAATCCTAATTGTTCATAGTTGTATTTGTTAGTTACGTGTTCATGACCTAAATACATGATAATGACTATGTCACAATTAAAGTCAGCGGTACTCAAACTTTCATAATATATTTTTAATTTATCAATCTACAACCGATTGCTCGCGACTCAGGTCGCGTGTAATTAGTAGGCTATGTGTTCTTCCAGACTATGTTCTACATCTATGCCAAATATTAGCGAGATCCATGCCACCGTTGATACTTTCAAACAAACATCCATCTAAACATTCGCATTTATAATATTAGTAATCTATCTTACTTTATAACTAACCCGCTGGATTGCAATAATCGTGGCTTTCTGATATCTCTGTATATAATATATCGTCATCCCTGTCTGATTTTTGACAGAACAGAAATAATGATATATTTTAAACGGGGATTTTAGTCTCAGAAACCAACAGTAAGTCTTCAAATGTGGGTCTTAACTTCTCGTGAATCACTACGCACAGCAATTTTAGCTCCAATAGGGCGTAGTGGGATGCGGAGGGAGGGAACCGCGTAGTACGAAAATGACCTTGAATCGCCAAGATATTTGATTTAATTATTTTGTCAAGGGAAATATCTATCGTTGATAGAATTAATACGTTTTCTTTTTATTTACCTTTGCACTGACCTCTATAAATGGACTGGGTATAAGACGTAATGTTTTGTGCCTATTTGATTTCCGCCATTTTGGCGTTGATGGTAGCAGTGTGGTGGTGGTATGGATTCGAACTAATAATATATAGATAGAATGAACTGTCACGTAACATCAAAAGGCGTTTAAATCGGAACGAAACTAAAGCTTTAATTTCCAGGCAATCGCTTATCCATTTACAGAAATCAGTGTCCCTTAGTTATAAGTACAGTCAGACGATTTTTTTGTTTCTTTTATTAATATTAAGTGTTTATTAGCAGCTAAGATTAATAAAGTATCCATAATCTTCCAGGCTTTAACGCGCCGCCGCCTCTTAACAACCAGATGCGACTCTACCACGTTGATATGAACCCTTACGGTCATCGGGTGATGTTAATCCTCGAAGCTAAGAAGGCTAAATACGAAGTGTATCAGTTAGATCCATTGCACTTACCCGAATGGTTCAGAGAAAAGAATCCAAGACGTGAGTTATCCATAATATGTTTATAAGTTAAAAAAGTGAATATGTCAAAGCATCTTTATAATCTCACGTAATTTGTAATTGGCACGACAAAAATCTTAGTTGTAGTTAATTTTATCAAACAATGTAATCTTAGTTTACAGTTTTACAAAAGAATTAAGTTAATTTTAGTTTAGTTTAGGTTTACTAAAGAATTACATTAATCTTACTCGTTTAGCCTTACAAAAGACCGCTGTCCATAAAAATAACTGGTGACACATATCTCCTTTTAATTTAAAAATAAACTATTAATCCGTTATTTTAGTGAAAATTCCCGTTCTGGAGATACCAACAGACCAAGGGGATAAATATTTATTCGAAAGCGTAGTTATTTGTGACTACTTAGATGAAAGGTTTCCGAGGAATCCTCTCCATTCCAAAGACCCTTACGTGAAGGCCCAGGATCGGCTGCTTATAGAAAGGTTTAACGAGGTAAGTTTATGTTATTTGAAGAGATTTAAATATAATACTTGTTGTAGAGCGGACATTAAGTGATCCTTTTTTTCAATGCTAACTTAAGCAGATTTTTTAATCCGGGAATGGACCAATATTGCCAGCGTTGAACAACTTTTTCGCTTGGCACAGGACAGGAAGAGGTTCGCTGAGCTGACGGCCAACCTCCAGTAATGGAGAGGCATTGGAAGAAGAAGAATATTGAACTTTATGTTATTGAAACAAGGTTTAATTTTATTATACTATCCAGGTCTTTTCTTATTAAGAGCTACAGTAAAAAGTCGTAAAAACTAAAGTTAAGCCTTGTTACAATTCTATAAATGTCAATTATGTTTTTAATTTGCATTTATATGTCTGTCATATGTATTTCAGTTAATCAAAGGAAGTTTGGAATGTTTTGACACCAACTTTGCATTTGGCAGCGAACAAATAATCCAAACTTTAGACGTGTTTGAGAAAGAATTAGCTACTAGAGGTAAATAATTTAACCTTATATAAAAAAAAAAATCAAAAACCTGACTGACTGAGGCTCTAATAAGATGGGATGCTAATCCGAAGAAGAAGACGAATCCAACAACATCTGACTGGTCAAAATGATTCAGTCGGCTCTTGACTCACAATGAAATCTACATACGTACAAACAAACTTTCATACATGCAAAAAACATTACCCTTTGTATCAGTGTAGTAAAAAACAAAAATTATCTGTGCCTGTGACACTCAGGAGCAGAATACGAATCTAATGACACCTCACTCGTCCAAGTCAGTCGTTTACGTTACAGAAGGTCATAATGGAATTGACAAAATAAAACCCTCATGTCAGTCGGGTAAAAACTGTCCTTCTCTCTTTGACTTAAAAAAAATAAGAGAGATGGCATCATATTTAAGTATTGGCAGTTAAATAAGTCCTTTTCAGGTACTAATTACTTCGGCGGCAATCGGCCTGGCATGTTGGACTACATGATCTGGCCATGGGTTGAGAGACTGTATTTATTACGTTGTGTGAACGAGCAAAAGTTTGACGAGAAACGACCAATATTTCCTAACTTTGTACGTATAACATACAAATTAAACTTTAATTCGACTCCTAAAGTTTTCCAAATATCAAGTTTATGTTTGTTAGAACCCATATTTGCCCTTTTTACTAGTATCGTATGAAAAGGAAATATCCTCTCTTACATAGCTTTATAGCAGACTAGATGTCAAAGGCGTTCACGTCCGCGTCGAATAAAGAAAACTTAATTAGTACCCTATGTGTTCTTCCAGACCATGTTCTACATATATACCAAATTTCAGCGACATATGCAATCGTTCTGGAGATACATTCTAACAAACATCCATCCATCCAAACATTCACAATTAGCATATTAGTAAAATGTCTAAGGGCAATATTCGATATTTTAGCGAAATCAGTTATCCGTTTGGCGTCTTATATTATAAAAAAAAATCCAAAAAATTGAAATTCTTCATAATTTTTAGTCTTTAATATATTAGAGACTAAAAATTATGTTCTTTTTAAAGTCTTCTATAGAAGACCTAAAAGAATGACCTTGAATATTTTAAGTACTCTATAAAATTAATGCTTTTATATTTTTAGGCTGACTGGGGAGACCAAATGCAACTAGATGAAGTTGTTAAAAAGCATTCTAGATCACCGGCGGAATATTTTGATTACTATAGAAACGCGAGAGCACATTCAATGGGATACTATCTTTAGATTAATTAAACAGTCCCATCAAGTTATCTGTAAACATAGACAACCACTGACAAAGAAATCTATGAATATTTAGGCAGTTTAAGCTACAACCATATATAGAACCAATGGGATGCAAAAATACACACGATTCACTCTTCTTTTAGCATCATTTTGAGCACAAATTACGTTGTATACTTGTTTAAATCATTCAAAAATAAAACAAGGTTCTTACTACGATTAAGCTGTTAAAATATTAGGAGCTCAAACAGCTTAACCGTAGTAAGAAACCCATTTCTTACGAATGTAATACATTCAAAAATAGTTTTTAGTTATTAATTTGCTAAATATTAGCGCCAGCCAATCAGCTGCCAGTATTTTCGATAGTGGCGCTATTTGACTAACTTGGTCAAAGACTAAAACTAATTTATATAGTTATATCTATACATCTATAGATTAAGAAAGTATGTGACAGTTTGAGAAACTGCAGCGATTTTTGTGTGTTTAGTACCAGTTGTGTTTTTTATAAATTTTTATCAATTTCGAGAATAGATCTGTACCACGTATATCGTTTTCAATGTCAAAACAAATCTACAGCCAGTTGCATAAATAACTACTATAAAGACTACAGAAGCTTGTATACGCTTTTGGTGTCAAAAATATGTAACACGCATCACATGTTACTGAAGGATAAGTGCATTTAAAAAAAATCGAAGGCGTACACAAGTGTCTTAATTCTTTTAAATTTATTTATACAGCTGACTGTACAAAAACTACTAACCTCTATAAATAGACAGGCTATAAGCATTGGTAATTTGTGCCTGTTTGATTTCCGCCATTTTGGCGCTGCAGTTGGTGTCGTTGGAACGAACTAATAATATTAACTGTCAGGAACATCTCGAAGCGTTTTCCTAACGTCCTATCCATGTATAGAGGTCAAAAACAATTGCTATTTTTCAAAGTTGATGATGTTTTGTTACATGTGTTTTAACAATGGAAACTCATATAAGTAATTCTGATCTTTTATGAATATCTTTACATTTGTATCATGTATTATTTATTACAAATAATTAAGTGTTTATTTTTTATTTAAATTAACGAAAAGTATGTGATCATGTCAGATTGTTTGTTTGTAATTTTGCTTAGGAAAGTTATTAAGACGTTTAATTTACACAATTTTATAAACGAAAGGAACTCAATATCTTCGCATTTATATCCCTTATATTTCAAATGTCTTATTGATATATAACCTATAAACTAAAGCACGATAATGTGAGGAAAAAGTTCTTCGTAGAATTTTTGTTGACGTTAAAAAATCGACTCACGATTAGAAATCAAATTGAAACGAAACACTCCATCTATATGTTATCGTTCTTATTATTTCTTAAAAAAGCGATTGACAATTATTTTAATCAAAAAATATAACCTAATTTTTGTCAAACATTTAAAATGCATTTAACACGTCTAAATATTTTCGCAGAATGTGTAATGACTAACTTAATATAAAAAAAGTAAAATAATAGTAACCTTCATTTAATTTTAAGTATATATTTCTACACTTTTTCTTATAATAATAATATACTATATAATCTAAGTGTAATTATCATTATTGGCTCTTCGTATAACGGAAGAGAGTAGATTTAAGAAATTTATTCAACAATAGTACTTACGATATTTTTGGCTGTTTGTTTTTTGCTGTAAATATTAATTTTCTTTAGTCAATTACGGTTTTGATTTTATACTCATGTATACTTTATGTATGTTCGTGTATAAAAGGCGCGAAATATTGGATGACAGGATGTTTTTTTTTTCTTCGTTGTATTGGTGTTTATGAAATTGGCCAGTCGTATACAAATAAAGTTTTAAAGAATCATGCTTTGTTTATTGTAATTTAACCTATTTTATTTTTTGTATTAAAATAAGAATGTAAAGACCCAAAGATACTGTTATAAAATAATTTATTCATATTAGTATCCAAAAAGATTAATCAAATGCAGCTAATGATTAAATCAATATATTTCAAACAAGTTAACAATGTCTCATCTCAGTTAAATACTTATAATAACAAAGTTTAACCTAGATTCACTACAATGCAATCGTAAGTTACTTTTATATCTTGAGTTAATATAATATGTAAATACAGAGAAAAGGAACGTAAACTACACGTTCGGAAACATTGCCACATGTCATGTCATTTTGACACCTGTCAAGCTGATCATTCTTGTATATATTTCAGAACACAATCACCTCTTTCTCACTATGTTTCAAATCTATTAGTAAATTAAATTAATTTCTCTTGATTTCTCTATTCTATCAATTCTAAAAATGCCTCTCATCCGTTCTGCAAGTTTCAATCTTTTTGTCGAAATAGTTATTCGAATCTGCCTACTCTCTTTATTCTGGTAAGCTAAGTACCATATGCTTTTTGTTTATATTATTTTTACGCATATTTATATAATTTAAATATAATTATATTTCAAACAATCATATACTTATTTGTTTTAAATTGATTCGTGTAATTTTATCATGTTTTAATCATGAAATTTAATTTAAAAATTATCGGAAGTTTGATGTTTGTTTTTTTTTAAGTTTTATGCCATTAAATATTTCGGTAATTTCATAATCTGTATTTATACAGTACATACAGTAATTATCAACAGTCTAGTTTAAATTTTAAATGTTTTTCAATGTTCTTGAAATTAATCTATAGAAATTCTAATTACCTTGAAGATAATGTAAAATTGTTATTTCCGTAACTAATTTAGAATAATATGTTCACAATTACAACGTATACTATCTATAAACATAAATTCTAAAACACAATGAGTTAATTTACATAGATATTATGCACATTTTGTTACACAGTTTAAGAATTAAATTATACTACCGCATAACATTGAATATTTTACGACAAATACACTGAAATGGGAATGAAATAAAAGTCCTTGACATCATCATCATCAGCTCACTATACGTCCCCACCGAGGGGCTCGGAGCCTACCCTAAGTTAAAGGTGATTAGGCCATAGTCAACCATGGCCAAGTGCGGGTTGGTTGACTTCACACATATCTTTTAATTTCTTCTCAGATATATGCAGGTTGCATCACGATGTTTTCCTTCACTGTAAGAACATCGGATAAATGTACATATGTTAATCGCAAATCGAAAAACACATTGGTACATGGCGGGATTCGAACCCAGGACCTGCAGATTGCTAGTCAAGTGCTTGACCACTGAGCCACCGACGCTCCTAAATAAAAGTCCTTAACTATGATGAATTCCACATTACACTTAACTTTAGTATATAAAATGTTTGACCTGATTTTAAGCAAGATTCAAAAGAAGAAAGAAGAAAACTACTCTAACCTTAGTTTTTTTCTATTTATTATATGGTAGCAAATGAGCAGGCGGCCATATGAATTCACCAACATACTAAAGCAACCACTGCCCCTTGACATCTGTTATTGTAGATATATTCCACCTAGCCTACTTTCAATCAACAGAAGAGAGGATGTACAAGAAAGAAAAACATTTACTTACGCATCCCCTCCTCCGCCAACTCCTCTTCACCTTCCCATCTTTTCCTTATAAATCTAGGATGGGCAAATGGACTAAAATTAGGTCATCAGCACACACACTCATCGGTCTGTAAGCAGAATGACTTTCACATCACTGTTTAGGCCAAACATAGATATTTGGTTGCAAAGGTAAAATTATACAGTGCATGTATGCATCATATGGTAGGGCTGCCTACGTCTCAGGCGCGAATATCACACCTGCCTTCTGTGTAGTATTTTAACTGCTATCCATACAACATGTAAATGCTTTTATTCTTCCAGTTACATGGAGACAATGCCACCCTTTGTTAGAGTTATCCTTCCTTCGGAGTTGGAGAATGATTGCAAATATCCAAGACGGGAGTCATACGTACCAGGTGGAGCGCTATGGGCTATAGTACTTTCAGTACCCTGCCTATTGTCTTTACTCGCGTGGGGAGCGTGCAACGATTGTAATGATGCTTTCGAAGTAAGTTTTATCTATATTTGATTGATAAAGGATGTGTAGTACAGTTTAACGGAGATAAGAAATTATAGCAAACCTCATTATCACAGCTCACTATATGTCTCCACCGAGGGGCCCGGAGCCTAGCTTAAGTTCAGGGTGATTTGGCCATAGTCAACCACGCTCGCCCAGTGCGGGTTCGTTGACTTCAAACATATCATTAAATTTCTTCTTAGATATGTGCAGCATCAACATGTTTTCCTTCTTTTTTTTATATATCATAAGGTGGCAAACGAGCGATCAGTCACCCGAAATCGCTGAAATAGCGAAGTGACCGTTGCCCATAGACATAATAATCGACGGAGGAGAGGATGCACACAAAGAAAATATTTTCCCTTTCCATGCTTCCTCTCATCCGGAAAGTCCACTTCCCATCCTTTCCTTATAAGATAAAGGGTGGGAAGGGAAAGAGGACTAAATTAGGCCTCCAAGACGCACATTCATCGTAATATTTGATTGGCATATGACATACATACATACATGCAATTTGTTTGAGTGTCATTTCATATACATGACAAATAAATATTTGCTTATATATTCATATTATTTACTTGTTTGTCATATTTAATGTATAATGTTGCGTTAAACAACTGATAACAATAAAATTATTACGTTTGACGCAAAATTATGTGGGAATTTTCTATTGTTTTTTTTTTTAGTACAGATAAAAAAAAATTTTTTGATTCAGCCAAGTTCGATTTGCCGGGACACAGCTATGGCTGTTTTTTTTTAATATTAGTACCGGTAATAAAATGTTTTGATTCAGCCAAGTACAATTTGTTGAAAGGGAAAGAAAAAAACGGAACCTTTATAGGATCACTTTGTTGTCCGTCCGTCTGTCTGTCAAGACTTTTTAATAGTACCTAACCAATTATGCTGAATGTTGCAGATTCTTCTCGCATGGTCTCTCGCCCTTGGTATTAATGGAGTACTGACAGATACAATGAAATTGATTGTCGGTGAGTTTTTTTTCATTTTCTTACTCCATTTGTATGGATATAAAATATTTGTGAGGAATTATTCCCTTTTGTATGTTCTCTGTCTATTAAATTTAAGCTACACAGATGGTTTTTTCAATTTTTTTTTTAATTGTTCTGTTTTTTTTTTGTCGAATCTAGTAAATTTAATTATATCTATTTCCTATGATCTGTGGTATATATCTTTAGTTTTTAAAACAGTACAAGATTTTGTGAAAAAAAAAATTGCCAATTTTTTTTTTAAATTTGACAATTTTTTTTCGTTTTTTTTTGTTTTGTAGGTCGTCCACGTCCAGATTTTTTCTACCGTTGTTTCCCTGATGGTGTGGAGACATCAGATCTGCAGTGCACCGGGGACCCTGTGGATATAATGGAGGGCAGAAAGTCCTTCCCCAGTGGACATAGCAGCTGTAAGTCAATGGCTTTTTTTTTTCAAATTAAAACTTGAATTTAAGCAATAAGGTTATTCTTTCATGAAATTGTATGGATTAATGTTACTAATATTATAAATGCGAATATTTGGACAGATGTTTGTTAGAAGGTATCTACAGTTTTTTTTTTAATTCCCTGCGGACGGAGTCGCAGGCAAGATATAGTGCAATTATATGATAACTATCTCTCGCCTGCGACTCCATCCGTGCGGAATTAAAAAAAAACATAAGTAACCTGTGTTTTTCCAGACTATGTCCTATATGTATGACAAATTTCATCAAGATCCGTTCAGTCGTTCTGAAGATATCTTCAGACAAACATTGTAGACAACGTGTTGAAAATTAAAATCGCTTTTCTGCGTATATTCAACGATGGGTGGTTGATGAAAGTTTTCAACTGTATAGTGTCGTTCTGCTCTCTGGGCATGTGCGCACTGTGGGTGTGTGGGCGACTGGGCGCGCTGCGAGGTAGGCGCGGCTCAGCTGCGCGTGCGCTGGCCTGCCTCGCACCACTTCTCCTAGCTCTCTGTGTAGCACTTTCTAGATCCTGTGACTATCATCATCATTGGCAGGGTAAGTGCAACACTTATTTTAAACTACCCTAATTTCTAGTGTAAATTAAAGCGTCGGTAGCAAATATGTACATTTATCGTATGTTGTTAGTGTGAAGGAAAACATGTTGATGCTGCACATATCTGAGAATGTCAAAGATATGTGTGAAGTGAAGCACTGGACCAGCATTCACTATCACATAGTTACACTTAGGGTATGATCCGAGACCCTCAGTAGGGATCTATAGTGAGCTGATATCAGCTCTGATTGCGAAATATGTATGTAAGTCGATGAGCCTTGAGCTTGGTGACTCACAACTCTGAAAACTAATGATAACTTCTATGTAGGTAGAAATTGAACTTAACTGCGAACCAATACTGATCTGGTTTACGTGAACCGTGTTGAGATCTGCGGATCAATTTTAGTTAAGTTAGGTACTTATAGATTTTTTTGGTCCTTCGAGTCAGATGTTTTTAAATGTCAATGTTTAGATTCAACTGTAACTTGGAATCTTCAAGAGTTTATGACCTTCGTTAGCGTAAATTTCTGAACCGATATTGACGACTGAGGTTCATATTATCCTGAGTGTCATAGGAAAGTTAGTTTTTTTTTTGTTAAATTCCAGATATCCTCGTTGGTTCTACGCTGGGTTTTACAGTGGCTAGCTTTTGTTACCGGCAGTATTATAATCCTTTAAGTTCTGAGCTATCTGGAGTGCCATATGTAGTGTCAGATACAAATCTAGCTAGATTGAATGGTAAACCGGACAGTCCGGCTAAAGATCTAAAAGATATAGAGTCGACACCGTTATTGAATTGTAAGAAAGAAGATAAATGGATATGAAATAAGATTTATATAGAGAAACGACATGGAATCAAAATAGACCTTAAAATTTGTCCCGGTGACATGTAAAATATTCATGTAGCCTAACATAGATATCTGACATGATAGAGACGATGTTATTTCGGTTAGTTATGTCAGAAAAATATGAAAAACTTAGCACTGGAGGTTGATAGTGAGCTGTGATAATTTAGTTTGATTTACGCTCATACGGATTGGAGTGTCGAAATTCGTTTTGTTATACCAAATGGAGAGTTGGTCTCTGTCTACTCCTCTGTGTTACAGTTGTGTTATATCCGGTCAGATATCCTTGTCTGTCTATATGTCATATTATTAATATTAACACGTAATTGACGAATACAAAAAATTAAAAAAAAAATTTTTTTGAATGAAAAAAATTAATATTTTTTACAAAAATAAAACTATGTGATTAAGGCATAATATACATATTTGAATAATATAAGTGATAAATAAAAACAGTCATAAAATAATATAGATTTTTTAAGAAAAAATCAGAAAAAAAATAAAGAGAAGCATAGCTTATATAAGCAAATAAAATATTTATTTCTAAATAGATTTATAATTTTATAAAAATATTTTTCCGATGTTAACTATGAAAAATTACCATAAACAAATATATTCATCTTATCATTGTCTTCCCTTGTTATTTAAAAAAAAACTGTTTAAAACTAAATTGAAAAATGAATCGATCAACGATTTTCAATTGATTTTTTTTTAATTAATTAAAAAGTGTATAATTGTTAATTATATTTTTAACATCCAATGCTAATAAGATTTTTTTCGTTAATTGAACTGGTTTCAAGTTACTGTGGGTTTCTGACATCACAATCTCTTTTAACATGTATCATCCCTGTTTTACATCTTTGACAAAAAGGAAATGTTTTAAACGGGGATATATGTCTCAGAAACCCGCGATTAGTGGCTTTATTTTAATTTTACGGCGAGTTAGTTGATGTGTTAATACGTAGAACATTATTTTTGTACTTAATTATAAGTTAAAAAGATTTTTTTCCATTTTTTTTTAATATCTTAATCTGGTTTAAGCATAATATTCCTAAAGATATTGTGATATATTTGTTACCATTTTTTTTTTATATATTTATTTTACTTTATTATAATTAAGGAACGTACCCATACTACGTGACACGTTTAGGGGGGGGGTCTTTAGTGGAGTCTTTAAAATACTACGGTCAGTCACAGAAGCGGAGAGGTCTCAGATTTTAGTAACATACTCGTTACTTGTTTTTTTTTCATAATATATAATTCACTAGTAATTTAAATATACATGCAGTCTTAAAAAAAATTATTAAAACTAAAAAAAATAGGTCACGTAGTATGTTCCGTTAGTAGTAGGAGAGGAAGTGGTGATTTTGGGATCTACTTGAGCGTGGAAGTTGAAAACTCCGTATAAAATCGCTCTTATAAGTGAGTGTTTTAGAATCATAATTCCAAGGCGTAGAATATTAAGTAAAAAATCTGTAATAAATACTAATACGTCAGTTAAATTATTCAAACTTTTGTCAGACATTATACTAAACTGATACTCAGTGAGATGAGGGTGTTGTCCGCGAAATAATACCAGTACCACTCATCCTGATGAAGAGCCCCCGATGGGCTTGAAACTAGTCAGTGCCACCGGACGTATATACGTGAGTGTTTAGCCGTGTTTATATATCAGTTTAATACGTCAGATTGAGTAAGCATTTTATATTTAGAAAAATGTTCAAATGCTACGCTATAGTAAACCACAGAATCCACGTTTCGCCTCACTTACTTGCATTTTAGAGTTCAGGAGAGATCCTGTTTAAAATATTTTAAGTTTTATCTGTAATTCTTTTAAGAATGTACCAATGAATTTCTAAAAAAAAATATATTTTTTCACCAATGATTTTTTTATTTATTTTTTTTTAGTTTTAATTTTATAAAATAATTACTGTTTTTTTGTTGTTGTATGTCATTATCCTACTTAGTCGTATAACGACAAATTTAGTATTAAGATTTTTTTTAATAATTTGTTTTTTTTTTAAAGTAATATTTCAAAAAATACATCCAAACCATATTTGTATTACTCAAATCCAATAGAAATTATAATAAACTTATCTAGACAAATTTGCCCTAAGGCTAAAATGTAGGGGGCGTTCATAAATTACGTGAGGTGTTTAAGGGGGAGGGGGTCGATTCAAATCTCATGTAATCTTACCGTTGGAGAGAGGGGGGTCTCTGCAAGTATCACGCTATTTTTGTAAGAAACACACATTTTGAAAAATCACACGTGAGATAGGGGGTTGGGGGAAAGGGTTGAATAAAATCTAACCAGGGGCGGAGGGAGGTGCAGAAAATTAAAAAAAAACACCTCACGTAATTTATGGACGCCTCCTTATTAAAAACAAACACGTGAAAAAGTACCTTTTACCCTTGATTTTTGGGATTAAAATCTCTGTATAAAACATTTCGTTATCCCTGTCATTATCTTTGACAAAACAGAGTTAACAATATGCTTTAAACGGGGATTTTGGTCTCTGAAACCCACAGTTAATATTTAATTTTTTTTTACCAATTAACATTCTGAGATTTTCTCTAGTCCGGTTTTATAACGAAGAGATGTAGTTTAAAAATAATTTTAATAGATTATTTTATATGAAAAAATTGCGATTTTTTTTTATTTTTTTGTCATATACATTCCTGTTAATCAAATAACAATAAAAATATTTACTTTTTAATGTATAGATGTTATTTAATATTAAAGGAATTGTCCGAATTCGATCGTTTTTTTTTAAAAACCCATGTAAAATAAAAAATAAACATAATGAAAAAATATTTATTTACAAAATCATACAAACTTATTTGGCCCGGTTGGTTACTTGTAACAGACAATATAAGCCTTAGAAGATGGCTACACAGACTGACAAGGAATTTAAAACTTTTAATATCGATAGGAGTGACTAATAACCTATTTTATAATCCTGAGGCCTAATTTCATTCCAGCCCTTTTTCTTATAAGGAAAAGATGGGGATCTCTACCTCCGGATGAGGGCATGGGAAGGGAAAATATTCTTCTGTGCATCCCCTCCATCTATTGAAGGTAGGTAGGTTCATGGGCTATCTCTTCGCTATTTCAGCGATTTCAGGCGTTCGCTCGTTTGCCATCTTATGATATAAAAAATCAAACATATCTAAGCTAAGTATAAATAGAAAATGGCATAAAAGAAAAAAAATCAGCTAAAGTACGGAAAAATACTTGTAGCAGTTTTTTGAAGTGAGGCGCTAGTGAGCTGTCTTGACTTATGCCCACCAGGTCAGATATTTTTTGATAATGAATTCAATCACCGGGCCAAATTATTTGCTCGCATTTTCTTACTATCATTGAAAATGGCACAATATTATAATTAACAAAAAAAAATGCATTTTTCATACAAAAATCTATTTAAAAAAAAAAAAAAAAACTTATTTATAACACATTTTTATGAATGTCAAAATTGTTTTGATCCAGCAAATATAATAAGATAATTTTGATACAAAAAAAATATATTGAAAAATCTCGAAAATAGGATTAGACGTAATAATATGACTTGTGAAGGAAATACTCGAAATATCCATGAACATGTAATAGGCTTTAGAAAAAAAAATCACGCCAAAAAAAATTACGAAAAAAAAAATAGTTTTAAAAAAAAAAGTATTAAAGAGTTACAAAATTTATATCAAACATGCAAATTACTAAATAACTTACCAAATAATTCTTTGGGCATAATCAAAATCTTTCCAATATACCTCTTTAGTGAAAAATATATAAAAAGTTACGACATTCAATATTATATACCAGAGAAACTCCATCAAAACAATTTTATATGACGACCGAACAAAACGCAACCTCAAAATTATATACGGTACCAAAAAATATCTCACTTCAATCATCTTTTGCAACACCAACACTACAAAAGTACTTATAAAATACGGCAATAGAAAAGAAATACAATTTTGATCTTTTAAATTATCATATAAACTGAATAATAAAAAAATATATATAGGTATAGTAGCAAATTTAGCAAATTCATATTTCCCGAACCAACGATTCCAAATATAAAATATATAATGCCTATTATCGGCTAATAAATATGAATGAACCACTGTATTATAATTAACAACTAAAGCAAATATTAAACCAAACAATAATACTATAATTTTATTACCAAACAACATATTTACCGTTGATTTTAACTTCATCATGACATATGGTAATCCAAATAAACCATAGAATAATAAAAAATATAACATTTGTGGGATATTTATGGATGCTTTGTGTGCCATTTTATCACCAATTACAATACCATTATTATATATAACAAATAAGATAAATAATATAAGTATAAACAATTGTGTTCCGATGAATATAAAATCAGAAAATGTCAATAGTTTAAAGAAAGTTGATAGATAAGTGTTAAAATGATATTTAACAGCTATATATAAATCATTAAAATTATAATATCTCTTTAATTTGGTTCTATCAATTTCTTGGGAGATTAAAGAATTTTTTTTCAATTTTAACTTATTCAAAAATTGATTACCGTACACACGTGAACTTTTTATAAAGACATCTAAATTTCTATGTAAGAATATCATAAAAATCCACGCTATATTAGTCTGTCGCATCATAACACAGGATAAACCGAAGATAAATATTAAAAATTTATTACTATTACCTATGCATAATCTAGTATAAGTTAATAAAAACATCATTGACAATGTATCAGTGTAATATATATGCGAAAAGAAGTATAACGGTGGTAATATAGTTAAATTAACAGCTTGTAACACTATTTTTAATGGATTTTCAAGATTTTTACCATAAATATAAAGCAATAATGATGAAAATAACATTAAATTGATGCAAGAGGCAAGCAAATTGACATATCTTAAGTTATATGTATTACAAGAGAAGAATGGTGATATTACAGATGAAATTAAATACAGGCCTGGTAACGTAGTAATCTTGGGGTCCCAGTATGAAAAGTTTCCTTCACAATACAGCATTCCTTGCGGTAAATGATATAATTCGTCAATAACTATAGGTAGTGTGGTGAAAACTTTATCAAATATTAATTTAGATGCTGTGTAGTAACTCATTAAGAGTATACCAAGGAGTGTATGGTATTTTAAATTCTCCATTTTGATGTCTCGAAAATCTGAAAAGAAATTACTTTTTAATACAGAATAAAAGATAAAATTTCTAATATTAGGTGATTTAATGCGCTATAACATGTAAAAAACTAAAAAAACTGCAAATGTGAAGGAGATTTTAAATATTTATCTTTTATTTAGAATCTAATAAGAATCATTTTGCTGAGTATGCATGATTAAACAATTTATAAGTTATTCTTATCCACTGAATACTTGGATATTGTTCTTATATTTATGGATAATTGAATAATTATCTAGGAACGTACAGCGAACTAAGGAGCTAAAAAAAAAGAAAAAATTACAAATAGAAAAACGTTACTATGCGATAACTTACTCAATTTTCGAATTACTATATTTCCTTTAAACAATCTGAATGTCCTAAAGAATTGTATTCTTACTGTAGTTCATGGCAATTACTTTTATTACACGTACAATTACTTAATATCCGGTGTGTTTTTGTAAATACTTTTGCCGGTTAAAATTCATACAATTGACATCACAAGAATGGCGGTTTATCTGACATTGACATCTTTGTCTTTACTTTACTTTTTTGAAGTTTCTTGGCCTGGTTACAAGGCCTTTAAGCCATATCGTAGTGGAGCACATTAAGAAATATTATTTTTGTTCGTTTGTTATTTTTACATGGTGTGAAGAAACTAATAATATAGTCATACTAAACTAATTAATAGCATGTTTTCGCAATAGGTATATTTTTAATATTTGTGGAAATAAATATTTTGCACTGTTAATATTATTAATTTTCAAAGTCCAAATCGGAAAATAGCACATCCCTAGTTTGACAATACTTCCTGAAGACGATATTGTTTATTGTCCTATTTGACGTATTTCTAACGGACAAAAAGTTTCGAACTTTACAAATCGAACTACGAGAAAATTGCATTTCAATTATAAAATTTCATTAAAACTACGATGTCGGGCGATAAATTCGATAAAGCCAATAGCTTTATTGCGAAACTGAAAGCTTATGGGACGGAAAGTGATGTGTGTAATTTAAAAGAAGTGTACGAAACTTACAAAAGTATTTTAACAGAATTACCTTCTAAAGACAGAGGATCTTTTTCGCTTAATGTCTTATGTACATTATGCAGGTAAGAATTTAACGTATAAGCAATGCTAAAGTTTTATCAGTTTACGGAATAGACAAATATCGGTAAAGATAAAAGGGTTGCTGAGGTTCTTGTCGCCTAGGTTGAATACGCGCCAGTCGTGTAGTTTCGAAAACTAACGATTTTTTCTTCAATTTACGAAACCATGACCACGTGATCTTGATTTTCACAGGAACATAGAGAAAGTACCTACATGGCGCGAGAAGATCTGCAACGCTCAGCTGCTGGAGTTATCAGTATGCTGTATAAGACAAACACGTGTACTGGATAAGACGGACCAAGTTAAGACATTAGCTTGTGTGTATCATATACATAGATATCTCGTGAGACAGGTAATTAATATTTTTATTAAGTGTGCATAACCAAAGCGATGTTTTCCTTTAACTGTAGAGCACATGAGCTTAGCTGTGAAGACATATCTCTATATAAATAATTATTCTGTGAGTGTGTATGTCACTGAACTTCTCTCAAACAACTGGACCGATTTTGATTAAAAATTTTTGTGTGTGTTCAAGGGGATCTGGGTATGGTTTAGATTCACAATTTTCTCCGCTGGACAATGTTTTTTTAATTTATTAGTAGTTGTTGATTTTGGAATGTTTTACATTGGATCCGACAGACGGTGCTAACATCGCAGTGTCAAATTTTAAATAATATTCAAATTAAAGATTTTCTAGACAGGACAATGTCTGTTGGGTATGCTAGTTCTTTATAAGAATATGGTGGAAGGGGAAGTGTAATTAATAGAACAGGAAAGTGTTCTTTGTTCATATCCTCCTCTGTTCTTAATGCATCTACAACATTTCAACATGTCTACTTTTACACAATTAAAAAAAACTTAATTAGTACACTATGTTCTCTATGTGTTCTTGTACACTCATCATCAACCTAACTTTATCCTATCGAGGGTCAGCACAACATGTACTACTCCTCCATACAACTCTATCAGCCGTCATTGTTGTTCTTGTACACTATGTTTTACATCTATGCCAAATTTCATTTAGATACATGCAGCCGATCTTGAGATTCCTTCTAACAAGCATCCATATATCTAAACTTTTGCATTTGTAATATTACTAGCTGTTGCACAGGTCTTTGTTTGCGCGGAATTAAAAAAAAATAGTAGTCTATGTGTTCCAGACTATGTTCTACATCTATGCCAAATTTTATTGTATATCCACTGAGTTCTGAAGATATGTAACAAATATCCATCAATCTAAACATTCGCTTTTATAATATTAGTAATATGTCTGCTGTAACTTTGCTATTTTAGCCAAAAAAATCGACTTTAAAACCAATTTCTTCTTTGTCATAAAGTAGACATAGGTCTACATTTTTAAAATCTTTATATATATAATTGTTCTGTGAGTGTGTATGTCACTGAACTTCTCGCAAACTACTGGACCGATTTTGATGAAATTTTTTGTGTGTGTTCAAGTGGATCTGGGAATGGTTTAGATTCACAATTTTGTCCGCTGGACAATGTTTTTTTAATTAATTTTTAATTTACTAGTAGTTGTTGATTTTGGAATGTTTCACATTGGATCCGACAGACGGCGCTACCATCGCAGTGTCAAATTTTAAATAATATTCGAATTAAAGACGTGTAGACAGGACAACGTCTGTCGGGTCCGCTAGTAATTTATAATATTTTTCAGGATACAATGTTACAACCTGCGTTATTACTAAAATTGTCATACATGCCTTTCGAAGTGACTGAAGAAAATCTCCAAAGAGAACATTTCAAAGTATACTGGAGTATTTTGGCGGATAGAATTTATTATATAGAAAAATTGAAAACGACACGAAATATAAATGATTTATTAACAAAATTAAATGAAGATATAAAAACAATAATATCATTATACAATCCAGTACAATTCTGTTCAAACATATTAATATTCGTAGTGAAAAAGTTACATTTTTTATACAGCGATATTAAAACTGATGAATTGATGATTGTTTATAAAAATATCTTTGATTGTTTATCAAATAAAGATATAATAACATTTAAAAACATCACAAACGAACAAGCAATAGATATATATATCAAATTTAATGAATGTCTTTATGTTATAATAGAAAATGAATCGAAAGTAAATTTCAAACGTTCAGTATTAGAGTTTATTATAAAGAAAATTATTATATTATTTCAAGATTTTACCGATATATTATATTGCTTTCAAATTATATATTTAAAATGTTTCTGTTATATATTTAAAAATCAGAATAAATCGGATTACGTACATACAGTTTTGGATAGTTTACAAAATAACTGCGAAACAGCTGAGAAATTGGGTTATAAGAAACCGATGTATATAACATATCCATATATTTCACAATTAATAAGACTGTTTATTGATAATTTTATTAATAATGATTTTAATATTAAAGTACATAGTAATTGTTTGAAAATCATTATATATTTAACTGATAAGTTATATAAAACACAACAAATATCGAAATGCGATAATTGTAACATTAAAACTGGATTACATGATTGTTTACGATTAACATTTCTAACGAAAAATATCATTGCGATATCCATACAAAGAAATATGGATATAAAATTAATATTTAAAGATTATATAAATATAATAACTAAACAATATATAATATTAAATGAATTAAACATATTAAAATGTTCAAATCATGAGAAATGTATGAAGAAATTACAATCCGATGTACATAATACAGCTATAATATTAAACAAAGCTAAATATTATGAATATTCAATTAATATGTTTAATATATATGTTAAAACTGAAATATGTTATGTAAAAAATGATATAGAATATAAAAATATAGCAAGAGCGTTATATAACAAGAGTATTAGTGAAATGGATTGTATGTTGTACTCGGAAGCTATTTATGATGCATATTTAAGTTTGGTATTCTCCGGAGATTTCAATGATAAATATATGAGTTTGATTATGGATATAAAAGCGAAAGCATTGAAGATTGATCCAAACGATTCAATGCAGTTGATGACAGTTGTAAATGTGTGCAAGAATTTATCGGAGAATAAGGACTTTGTTAATATGAAGATGTTCTTTTCTAATTTGAAATATAGGTAAGTTTGTTTCAAATTAATTTACTGTAGGTTTCTGAGAAAACAATCTGCATAATATCGTCCATGTACTTATCTTTGACAATACAGATATGTGTTTTAAACGGGGACTTTGGTGTTAAAAACTCACGATGTTTTAAATATGTTGCATTTAGATGGTTTGTCTGTAGGTTTGTGTGCGTTTATCTCCCTTACAGCTTAAACAATATCTTTTTATTTATATTGCGTTTTAATATGTATATTTTCCTGATTTCTAGTGATATTAGAATTTTTCTTTTCCTTTCCAGTGCTTTGTTAAAACATGAATTTTCAATGTATGTAAAACTATGGCCGTCTATAATACCTATCGCTGGAGTTTGGATGTCTTTGAATGATTTAACTAAAGGTGTACATAAATCTTGGATAAAAGGTAAGTCAGTAACCTTCCATACATCTATATCAGTTTCTAAATTCATACCCTTTTTAACATCTTACATATAGGGCCGGTTGTAGATTTCCGGCGCCCTGGGCGACATTTTTCGGCGCCTTTTTTTGGTGTTGTGGGAAATTTTTAAAAGACAGCCGCAGGCGTCTCCGGTGCTAACTTACGCCCTGCGCCCTGGGCGACATTTTTCGGCGCCTTTTTTTGGTGTTGTGGGAAATTTTTAAAAGACAGCCGCAGGCGTCTCCGGTGTTAACTTACGCCCGGTGCCCTGGGCGCCCCCATCTCGCCCTACCTTAACACCGCTGATTTATTCTAATCAATCCCTTCATTTTCGTATATAATTTGTTTTTCAGATGAAAATGAAGATAATTTATTATGGATTTTATATGAAGTGATATTAGAAACTCCAACAGCAGTTCGAACGATACATTCCGATTATTATAAGACAATTGTCGCTGAAATATTGCACAGAATTAAAGAGAAACCGGTATGTTAAAAAAAAATATTTGTCAATTACAAAAAAAAACGACTGACTAACACTAGCCCAGTCAACTTGGGTAGGCTCTGAGCCCTTAATAGGAACTTATAATAAGCTGACATAGTCGGTGTCGAAGAAAATCTTCTAAAGATAAGGCGCCTTAGGCGCCCTTTTATAATCGACTATGGCGCACGGCGCCATGGGCGGACGCCCTATCCTAAAGCTTGTACTTTGAGCAGACCACTAAAAAGATAAATCAGTGTCTTTTTACCCGATTGTCTCGTCTTATGGTTCTCGCTTACGTTTCTTTGTATGTAAATATCTTCTGTATCGTAAACGACTGATTTGATTTTGACTTGAGAGGTGTCATCATTTCGTATTCTTCTCCTGAATGTCAGACTTTTTTTTATTTACTAATTGTTTTTTATAGAGAAAAAAGATTGAAGAAAAACTAGTTGAAGCTAGTTTACTATTTTTACAATCTGAATACGATATCGCAGAAGCAACGGAGAAACATGGATGGAAACAAACTGACCCGGTAAGTTATGTTACATGTAGATTGTGAATTTGGACAGTTCGAAATCGGTCTAGTCATTTTTTAATGACAGCAAATAATTAATTACTTATTTTAGATATGTGTTAATAGTTGTCGCCCGCGACTCAATTAAATTCGCGACTCGCGGAATTAAAAAATAACTTAGTAGGCTATGTGTTCTTCCAAACTATGTTTTAAATCTATGCTAAATTTCATCAAGATCCAGCAGTTCTGACAAATATACATCTAAACATTCGCATTTATAATATTAGTAAGATTAACTGTTCTTTCAGACATTAAGTCCTGAACAAATAAAAGATTTACGAACTTTACCACAAGAACAAAACGCTTTGAGACATGCTGTAGACGCTGTTGAAATATTAACAAATATATTACCTAAAATAAATACAGGTGAGTACTACATTTTCAAACAAATACTACTTAGGGTCCTGTAATAAGTGACCATACCATTTCCTTGAAGGCAAGACATCTACAGTGCCTCTGATGTTGCTGAAGTCCATTGATCTCTCTTGACTCCATTCACATAGAATTAAAATAACTTAATTAGTAGCCTATGTGTTTTTCCAGACTATATTCTACATCTATACCAAATTTCAGCGAGATCTATGCATCCGTTCTGGAGGTATCTTCAAACAAACATCCATCTGAATATTCGCATTTATAATATTAGTAAGATTTATTTATAGACATTCTTTACTATCAATCTATAGACCACAAACACATTAGCTATATGTTTCTTCCAGCTCCGAATTCCCTCGTGCAGCATTCTTTGAAAATCGCACAAGTATTTGTTCAGCAATTGCTGTACACACAGCGTTTACTGCAAGCTTTACAGTTGGCACATATCTGCTGTGAGCTGGCGAGAAATATCGGTGACAAGTGAGTGGACAGATATAAAACTAACATTATTACTAGATGTCGCCCGCGACTCCGTCCGCTCGGAATTAAAAAAAAACAAACCTAACCTAATTTTCATCGAGATCCATACAGCTGTTCTGGAAATACCTTCTAACATACATCTAAACATTCACATTTATAATATTAGTAAGATAATACTAAGATAAGGGACTCCCTTAAACTAGAATTAAATTAATGAAATCTTAACTATAGCTATATAATGTTAATCTTAGAAGATTTATGTTTTGACGAGTAATTATGTTTTCATTGTTCTATTACATTCGTATTTATATGAGTTTAACAAATAGTATTTTTTCTATGTTTCTAATTAATAAACTAAAAAAAATGTGTCCTATTTAAATAAGAATGAAAACCACGATGTATATTTTCAATCTTGTTATACTTATATACAGGTGTGTTTTAACATTTCCGGCGCCTTGGGCGACATTTTTCGGCGCCCTTTATTTATCGGGATAAATCTAAGATAAGGTATTTTTAGGGGCGTTTAAATGCTCCATTATGGCCGATGCCCTGGGCGTTAGCCCCATCTCACCCTATACTAACGCCTTGCTAATATTAATATAATATCTTTAGGATGTCTTACTTGAATAATGTAAGAGTAATTCTGCAACACGTCAGCAAACCAATAGATAAAGTGGAACAGATTGTGACCACTGCTATCAAATATTGGCAAGAATTAACATCGTGCAAGCAACACCTGGAAACTGTGCTAGTGTTTGCATGTGAATTAGCAGTGAGTTCTTTTATATTATAGTAAAAAAAAATATTACGAGTTTTCAAATCGTGGTTATATAAAAATATATTGTGTACAACTCACGTATGTAACCTAAAGGGGTAGGCAGAGACCACGAACCATTTGGCATGGCCAAATGGAGACTGAACGTCTTTTTTTAACGGAAATTGACACATATCTTTGAAATTTCTATACAGATATGTGCATCACGATGTTTTCCTTCACCGTAACATCGGATAAATGAGGATGGAACAAAAAATAATAATTCCACTATAAAACACAAGTGATTCGTATCCAGGACTTGCAGTTAATTGCTTAACCACTGAACCACAGAGGTTATTACGTTGCTTTGTGTATGAAGGGACAAAGAAATTTTCAGATGTATTACAATCGCTGCGGCTCTATCTGTACGAGTGAGAAACTCTTACATTACGTTGAAGCATCGATATTGGATTCTTTAGATGAAGTTAATCGTAAGTATCGTAAATTGTAAATAACATTTCTAGCAACTATAACTAAAATTTATTTAAAGAAAAAGAACTACGAATTGATAACTTCCTCCATTTTGAAGTCGGCTAAAAATAAATAATCACAATTAATCTTATTATATCTTTTTACAAAATAAAAATTTTACACTTTTACTAAATTACGAACAAATAATCAGCCATCAATTTACACTACGCACTTTGACACGACCTATCGCCTTGAAAGCCGAAGAGCAAATGAGCACCCTCTCTTTTTTTTGTGACTGAGTAGTCACTGTTTGCCTTGAAGAGGCATTTACAGCTTCACCGGGCTTGAGGTGGCTGAGTGCAGATGACACTTAGCCCAATCCGGTAATAATAACGTAGTAAAGGTCCGAGCCGAGGTTCCTGAGGGAGCCCTCGAGCTTAGTTACTCATAAACGAGGTTTAGGCTAAGTGCCATCTGCGCTCGGCCACCTCAAGCCCGGTGAAGCTGTAAATGCCTCCTCAAGGCAAACAGTGACAATCAGTCATAGAAAAATAAAATAAAAATAGCTTAGCCTGAACCTCGTGAGCGCTCTTTGAAAATGGCTGCCTTTAAATAGGGTGTCAAAGGCAATTAGTTATTTATTTTTTTATGTCTTAATTTATTGTAATCCTTATAATACTGTTAATAAAAAGTTTATGACACTCAGGGGAAGAATACGAATCGAATGACACCTCACAAGTCAAAATTGGTTCAGTAGTTTGATAGTTATGTTACTGTTCAGTTGTGGATTTAGATAATATTTAGTCGGGCTAGAAATATATTAGTAAAATTGAAGTGGCTATGTTATATGTCAAACGCTATGTCAATTTAGTTTATAATATTATATCAATAGATGGCGGAACATATTACTAGATCACGATATAGATTAATTTGGTACTAGCGGAGCCGACAGACGTTGTCCTGTCTACACGTCTTTAATTTGAATAAATTAATATGAAGTTAATATTTGATGAAAATTGTGAATCTAAACCATTCCCAGATCCCCTTGAACACACACAAAAAAATTCATCAAAATCGCTCCAGTCGTTTGAGAGAAGTTCAGTGACATACACACTCACAGAAGAATTATATATATAAAGATATTTATCGACTTGCCGATCGCATTTCAATAAAGTTGATTCGCACCAAGATATAACCAGTGTTTTATTGTGACTACTCGATACTTCTCCAGTGAGAGGGAGACTTTTTTGAGACTGCTTTACATAATATGAAGATAAAAATAATATTTGCTAATATTTTGATAGATTTTTTTTTTGCCTTTTTTTGCGGTTTTTATAACAATTTGTAACATCCTGTAGCATAAACTTTGACGAAAACGATTTTGACTTGTTAGGTGTCATTCGATACGTATTCTATCGTAGTTTTTAATTTTGCAACTGTTAATAATTTCCTAATATACAAATAAAACTGTTTTTTTTTAGTGGATCTAGCTATAGGTCGTCTGCTAGAGGCGCAGGCTCAGATCTCTGATAGCTCAGGTCCAGACACATTGAGTAAAATGTCTGCCGTTCAAAGACATTATGTCTCTATTAGCAATAATGGTAAGTAACAAAATTATCTTGAAATATCAATTCGTGTACCCCTGTCGAGGAATTTAATTCCCTTACCATTTAAATTTAATATAAACTGTCGCTATACGATTTATAATACAATATCGGAATGCATAGGAAATACATTTCTTTAATTGTGTTTATGTATCCATTAGCTGTCGCCCGTGGCTTCTGCTAGATAAAAAAAAAACTTAATTAGTAGTCTACGTGTTCTTCCAGGCTGTTCTATATGTATGTCAAATTTCATCAAGATCTGTTCAGTCCTTTTAGAGATATCTTTTAAAACATACATCTAAATATTTGCATTTATAATACTAAAATTACAATGATTTTAACGTTTAATTCAATATTAAAAAGGCATTATTTTTATAGTTTTAACATTTGATTATTTCTCTTTAGAAATATGTGTTGCCTATAAGCATATTCCCATTTCTCCATCCCTTCTCCCTCCGACTCCTATTTCCCTTCCCATTTTAGTATCACGAAGTCTAGAAATTTTGAAAGATAAGAAATATTTAAATTGATATCTAATTCTACTATAGAAACAACATGGACATCGCGACGTTATCGTTCCCTGTTACTTCGTATTGGATGTTGCGCCGGCGCATTGCTCGGTGGCAGCGGAGCCCGCGCTCTGCTGCTGTGGAGGCGCGCGCGCTCCGCCCTCGCTGCGGGACTTCGCCCCGCCAGCGCACTCCTCGCCGCTCACATGTATACACTATACGTGGATACTAACTCTGATGATGCTGAGGTAAGTGTTCCAATTAAACCCGGGTTTCTAACATCTGAGATCCCAGTTTAAAATGTTCTCTTGTCAAAAATTCTAGGGTTTTTCACGGAAGGTCTCAAACAAACAGTATATAATTAGATTATTTTTCAACCTTTGTAATATAAACAAAACAAATTTTTAGACAATCATATCTGACTTTATAACATTCAGGAGAAGAATACGAATAAAATGACACCTCACATGTCAAAATTGAGAAATCTATTTTTCTCTTGTCAACCAGATAAAGAACTGTAACTTAACATTTCAATGTGGCTAAAAACCACGGAGCAAAACTTACGCTCTGTCATTGGAACGAGAAATGCGAGAACCGATTACAGTACGCGAGTTTTGCTCCAAGGTTTTTCACCATATCTATCTTAAAAGTATTTTTAAACTTTCCATCACCAGGTCAACATAGATCGCATCAAACACATCTTAGGTCTGCAACCGACAAATGAAATACAACCACAAACAACTACACATAAAATAATACAAAACACACCAAAACACACACAAATCGAGACAATGCTAAAAAGTTCCACATTCAGAAGGTTACAAACAAGTCCCAGTTCCCCATTGATGACATCATCATTCACTATGCCTGAATTTCTAAACCACAAAGAGAATTGTCAATGCTACGCCTGTTTAGTACCTTTTAGCTTCATAATAACTGCTAGAACTTGTCTTCTAGAAGCTTCTATGTACTTTAGAAGTAACGATTATCAAATAGCAAGGAATTACTTTGACGGTGCAACAGAAGCTTTGAAATTATCCAAAGATAAACTTAACAAAGTCATAGACAAATCTAATATAGAGAAATATTTATGCGAGATTGTTAAAGATTTTTGGAATAAAGAAATTAAATTAATTGAAATCGATATGTTATTAGAAGAAACTTATTTCGAACTTTCACAGAATGATTTTAATAATATTAATTTTAAATTAATAAGATTAGATGAACTTTCAAAAGAAATCAAATTAAATTTATATCTAGAAAACGAGATAAACAATCTAATAATCGCAACATCTAGACTGAAAAGAGCGATTAAGAAGAAACAAGAAGATGCGTTAGAAATAGAAATGGAACATTTAACGCTAAGTCCGAATACAAAATTAATAAAAACTCCAGAATCTAAAAAATTACCTATTCATTCTACAAATAAAGTCGTCAAACAAAATGAATTGCCTTCAATTAATTATAAAATAAGCAAATTAAATCTTGATGGTGAAGATTATGATGAAAAGGAACCGATAAAGGAAATGAAAAAACCAAAATTCAAAATTCCAGAACCGATTATAAATAGACCGATATTAGAAACTATGACTCCTGGTCCGAAAATTCTGAACTCTGAGACCACAAAACTTCCAAAAACCTCATTAAAGTTCGAAACCACAACACCATTACCAAAGACAAGGGTTAAGATCTTACTGACCCAAGCTAGTCAGGACCAGGGTACTCCGGTCTCGAAGACCGAGGAGTTTTTCACCCCATCATCAACTCCGGCGGAACAATTCTTCACACCGATGTCGTCTATGAAAACTTATACGAGAAAAAGAAGTGCTATTGTCAAAAATCTTGATAATGAATTTTCTACACCTAAAGTTGACATTCAGAAAGAGAATAAAGTAAGTATTTACATATTGTTATCGCCCGCGACTCCGTCCATCACAGAATGAAAAAAAAACATAATTAGTAGTCTATGTGTTCTTCCAGACTGTGTTCTAAATCTATGGAAAATTTCATTAAGATCCGTTCAGCCGTTCTGGAGATATCTTCTAACAAACATCGAAACATTCGCATTTATAATATTCGTAAGATTTTATTTAGTTTAGAACTATGAATATTTTAATTTAGTTTTTTACAATTCACAATTTGTCTAGGAATAGACCGTAACTATATAGTGGCAAATGGTCATTTGAATTCGCCGAAATGGCGAAACGACTGCTTTTATATTTTTATATACTCATCCGCAATTACAGATGTATTTACTTTAATCGGTAGAAGAAGGGACGCAAAAAAGAGTATATTTCACCTTCCTATGCGTCCTCTTTCTGTTAAATCTACTTTCTATCCTTATATGAGATGGGAAGAGAACGTGGAATATAATTGAGCCTCCGTACCGCACACTCATAAGATGAAACACGGAATTACTGCCACTTGACATTTTCTTTTGATCACAATGATGTCATCATACCATGTTTCAGTGTAGTAATTGTTTACTTTGTAGCCAGGTGTCCGCACTAGACGTGCTGTCAGCAGCCGACTGAACAAGGATCAGCGTTGAACTGAACACTACTACTTTACTGTGTAATTTTATAGTTTGTTTCATATGAAAAACTAAATTTTGTTAACAAAAGCTGTTGCGGTATTAGAGTAGGGCGCTTTTAGATTATGGTCGTTGCCCTTAAGATACCATATCTTTGGAAATTTCCTTCCGAGAACAAAAAAAGGCGCCCTGAAAACATCGCCCACAGCGCCCGGAAATGCTAAATCCGGCCCTGACTAAAATAACTTGCGTTAGTCGTTTTTTTTTGTAATTTCTAAAATTTTTCTTGATATCACACTTTTTCTCACAACTATATTATACAAATTTTCTTTACTCTATCCTCATAATTTTCATTAAAATTATATTTCTAATAAAAACAGCAATAATATTGTGTAGGTTTCTGAGGACAATATGTCTGTATAAAACATATCCCTGTCATTATCTTTAACAACACTGAGATAGCATTTTAAACGAAGATTATAGTTTTAGAAACCCGCTCTAAATTGCCTTAAGTCATTAGTCATATATGGATTTCTTTCAGTAAACCCTTAGTAATGAATTAACTCAGAAATCTGTACTAAGTAAATCTTTAAATGATTACTTAACGAGTTTGAGAGCGGCTTTTATAATGATGTTAACAAGATTTAGGTGTTCATTTGAAACGGTAGTTTTAAGTGGTTATTTTCATCAAATTGTGTTCGTATTTTATAATTTTATTAATATATTGAATTGTAAGTCGTGTATTTTTGAATAAATATTATGTAATTTTGATAAAATTTATTTGATAAAAAGTAATTAATAGTATCTATGTATTCCTCCAGACTATGTTCTACATCTATGACAAATTTTAGCGAGATCCATTCAGCTGTTCTGGAGATAACTTCTTACAAACCAATCCATATCCAACTTCATCAGCTCACTATATGTCCCAACTGAGGGTCTCGGAGCCTATCCTAAGTTATGTGACTAGGCCATAGTCAACCACGGCCAAGTGCGGGTTGACTTCACACATATCTTTGATCTTCTCAGATATGTGCAGCATCAACATGTTTTCCTTCACACTAACAATATAGGATAAATAAATATGTAAAACACAAAAGTACATGGCAGGATTCGAACCCAAGTACCTTTGAGTCACCGATCCCCTTAAAAATCACATTTATAATATTAGTAAGATTATAAAATAAATACAAAAAAAGGTTTATTTCTGTCTATAAATAAATTTTATTTTCTATACACATTTGATAAAGCAGCCATCAACTACAAAGTTGAATTTCCACAGACTAAAGTTATAAATATTATAAACTAATTTACATATTTGGGCTTCAGTTAAATAAGTTGTAAAAAATCTAATTAACAATTAGAAACTAAGACAGATAAATATTTATAACTACATATGAGTTATAATAAGGAAAGGGAAAATATTCTGTGGGTCTCCTGTCGAAAAGCATCTGCAAAAGTCTATTGGAAATTATTGCTATTATGTTTAATTAAAAGCGTAAACAAAAGTTTATCTTTTGAAAAAAAAGCAACCAAACCTTTAAATCTTCTGTAAAATATCAATTTCTACTGAACAATATCACTTCAATGTTAATTAAGTTTTAATTAGTGTTGGAAATAAAATAAAAAACAATAAAAAAGGTCAAGTAGTGACATTGACAACTGTCAGTGTCAGGAATATTTTAAGGAGAAATAAATTCCAATTGAACATTCTTTTGTCTAGCAATTGTAATGGCTTCAGTTTTTCTCTTTTAATAAATCTTTACTACTCATATGTTTTATACATAACCCATCAGCTAGAAACTATATAATATTTCAGTGAAGCCCATTTCTAAATATTTACGCAAGATCTTCTCATTATACAGAGTTAATTATAAAACAAAAACCTTGCAAGAACTAGGGAAACATCATAAACAAAAGTTTTAAAATTTTTGATATATATACGTCCCCATTGAGGGGCTCGGAGCCTACCCAAAGTTATGTGACTAGGTCATAATCAACCATGATCAAGTGCGGGTTGACTTCACACATATCTTTGACATTCATAGATATGTGCAGCATCACGATGTTTTCCTTCACACTAACAATATAAGATAAATGTACATATGTAACATGGTACATGGCGGGATTCAAACCCAGGAGCTGCAGATTACAATTGTGCTTTAACCCAGAGCCGGTGCTCTCAGTATGTTTATGATGTTATTAAGTCTTGCAAAGTTATTGTTATACAAGTTTTCTAAAATATGTATAATACTTAATGTAACTTGATTGTATATCAAACATTACAACACACTGCAACATGGTATGTAATCGCTCATCAGCTCACTATACATCCCCACTGAGGGGCTCGGAGCCTACCCTAAATCAAGGGTGGTATGTAATCAACTACATCTAAATAAACTGATATAAAAACGGCTAAACACTCATATTAGTCCGGTGGCAGCACCGACTAGTTTCAAGCTCATCGGGGACCCTTCATCAGGGTGAGTGGGACTGGTATTATTTCGCGGACGCAGCATTTAGCTCACTCTTCTACTAACTACTAATAATCAGTGAGCTGCCGCGTCAGCAAAATAATATCAGTCACATCGTCGATGAGTCAAGGGTCGATGAGTTTGAAACTAGTTGCTGCCACCGGATTTATATGAGTGTTTAGCCGTTTTTAAATCAGTTTATTACAATGTCTTACGAATGTTTGAATAATTTACATCTAAATAATCCTAGAAAAAAAACAATATTTTACATGATTAAAAAAATTAGCCTGTATTTAATCTAGATTTATAAAACTAATTTTCATAATAATTTATTTCACTATTAAATAATTTGTTCGCTTTTCTAACAAACAAACACACTTGTAAAAATCTCATTTACATATTAGAAATCTAGAATTAAACTTAGTATACCAATTCCTTAAATAGAAACTATTAATTTTACTTTAAGAACAAAGAACTTATTCTTGCGTCTATTTAAGATAGATTAGTTTGATATTGACGTGTATGAAGGATAGAATTAATTATGTATGAAGATTAATGTTGTACTTAATGTGCAGTTGTCAAAGTATACGAGAACTAACAAGAATCAAAATAAACTATAGTTTAGGTATTTAATTACAGTTATTTGGCTAATATAAATAAACACATTTCTTTTATATATAAACACAACAATTTTTGGTTGAATATTTTATTTCTATATATATTTATGAAGTACTAGCCGTCTCCCGCGACTACGTCCGCGCGGAATTAAAAAAAAAACATAATTTGTATTTTTTTTTTGCCTATTTCATCGAGATATACATGAATTGTCAAACTAATCTATCTTAAACAGACAAAAATATATCCTATTTCTTTACTAAGAAACAGATTACTTTCATCTTTTATCCTATTCTGTCATAACATTTTTTTATTAGCCATTTCAGATGTCTTCCTTATCATGTCACCTTTCGCACAAAAAATCCCTTCTTCGGCCGTCTCCTACCCTTCATTCATACTGAATGTTACTTTCAGTTCTCTGTTAAGTTCTAAGCTTCATATCCTAAAACTTAATTTTAATTGTTCGTTAATTAATGATTAAAAATATAATTGTCCATTTTATTTACAAAAAATGTATATTATGCATTTGTTAAGTGAAAGAAATTAACAATTTTATAGAATAGATTTCTTTGCTTAAGAAAATGTATGAAATAGGTACTTTTATACTGAAGTGTTAATTATCTTTTTAACATCAATGACTCCTATGTAAACTATCATAAGCTACAATTTTGCAATTTTAATATTTTTAAATACCAATTTCTTTGTAAATTTCAAAGCAATTAAGAACCGTAGGTTTATAAACACGGCTAAACACTAACGTATATACGTCCGAGTGAGTGAGCGACGGGCGGCGTCCGCGAAATAATACCAGTACCACTCATCCTGATGAAGAGCCCCCGATGTGCTTGAAACTAGTCAGTGCCACCGGACGAATATACTTGAGTGTTTAGCCGTGTTTATATATCAGTTTAGTATAATTTCTCACGAAAGTTTGAATAATTTAACTGTAGATTGTTTATGTATTTCATGTTTAGACTAGCTGTCGCCAGCGACTACACGTGTTAGAAAAAATGTAGTCTATGTGTAGCCAAATTTCAGCAAAATACAGCCATTCTGGACATACATACAAATATAATTCCATCTAATGACATTTATAATATTAGTAAGATGTTATCATCAACAACCTGCCCTTATCCCTATCGAGGGTTGGCTATGTACTACTCCTCGTAAGTAGGAGTAAAACAACTGAGGGGTAGCTTCATAAGGTATGCTGCTCGAGTTTAGTCTTTTGTTATTGAGAAATATCTGACATTTTTGTTTTCACATTCAGTTGGAATTTGTTTTAAGAAAATAATTTTAAAAGTAGCATTAACCCTTATCAGCCTAGAGTTTCAATTATGATACCAATCTTTTAAACCGAATGTTTAACATTACTATTAATTTTTTTTATAGGTTGGCTGTACCTATTTTACTGTTGTATAATATTCTTTCCAACGAAATTTAAATACATATATAAACACGGCTAAACACTGACGTATATACGTCCGGTGGCGGCACCGACTAGTTTTGAGCCCATCGGGGGCCCTTCATCAGGATGAGTGGCACTGGTATTATTTCGCGTACGCGGCCCGTCGCTCACTGCGTGAGTGAGTCGTGAGTGTTTAGCCGTGTTTATATATCAGTTTAGTATAATGTCTCACGAAAGTTTGAATAATGAAATTTAAATAGAAACAAATTTCATTATTGTTTAATTTTATCAAGCAAACACGGTAATATTAAAAATAAATCAGTTTTGTATGTAAATCAGGCTACTAACGGTTAAGTTTTGTTCGCGCCTGAGGTGCGGGCAACACCACTACCGTGCGGTGGCACGATACGTCACTTGGACTACCGCTTTCGACCGCCGATGCATACGCGCAACGATTAATATGTCTACTTTGTAACTCTGTATTTACCGCTTATTAAACCATTACATCAAATAATTGTTTGCCCTAAACAGTTTGTTATTTTGTTGTTTTTAAAAAGTTACTTTTGTACTTTTTAAATTTTTGTCTTGAAAAATTTATAATTAAAACTTACAATAGTTAACATAGGAGTTATTGAGTATTCTAAATCTGTAAAACATATATCCAATGATATTTTCATTACGAACAGACCTAACATGATTTTGTCTGTCTTTTATTAGTAAAATCTTATAGACATTAAGATATAATTTAAACCTATGCTCCTTATATTTAAAATTTAATTTTTAATACAGCACAATTCAGAATGAACCCCAAATTGTTTTTACCATCTCACTTTTGTGCTAAATATCTGTACTTAATTAGCTATTGCATGCGACTCCTCATACAGGATTAAAAAATAGATGCATCCCGTAGGCCTAATTTATTCCTCTTTCCCTTTCCACCCTATTCCTTATAAGAAATGGATGGGAAGTGTAAGTGGACCGTATGAGAGGATGCATGGGAAGGGAATATATTTTCTTTTTGTGCATCCTCTCTTCTGTCGATTAAAGGTAGGCAACGCATATGCAATTGCGTATGTCTATGGGCAACGGTCACTTCGCTATTTCAGCGATTTCAGGTGACCGCTTGCTCGTTTGCCATCTTATGAGATAAAAATATATATATATATACAGTAGTCAATTATCAGAGCTACTATGCATATAAATTTCATAAAAATCTGCAAGTTTTGTAGTATAACATAGTGACCTGACAATTTTATATATATCTTAGGGGCTATGTTCGTTATATTTCGGCCTTTCAGTTTTCACATACCTTTAAAAGTGGAGTATATTAAAATTAATTACTTTATACCTAAATTTTAAACTTAACCAGTCCCTTAGTTGTTGAAATTTAGTAAGAAATCTCCATTAAGCAACTGATTAAATCTTGATAGCTACACTAAACTATGTGGCCAATACGCGACTGAAGTTTAAAATTTACACAATACCTTAATTAAGTTTTAAAATGACTAAAAATTACACTGACCTTGTTCAGTATGTCCATATTTTAACACTATGCACTCTTATGGTATGCAGTACACTCACTGTCCGTTATTTAGTTTCAAATGATAAGCGTTTTGTAAATAAATACTTCGGCTTTACTCCGAAACACATAATTCTCAGAAAACTATCTCAAATTACTCATTGACTGATTGCACACAAAATAGTGTACTTTATCTAAATGTTTACAAGATTTACCATAGGTTTACGAGACCAAGAAATCCATTTAAAACATATGAAGACAGAGATGACAATATATTTTATACAGAGTTTTTAGTCTCAGAAACTCAGTTAGCCATTCATTTGAAACTGTAGTCAGACCATCCACTTTGTCACAACATAAATCACTAAAACACTACACTAGGTCCAAGTCTGTTAACTCTGAAAGAGCCTTAAGCGGAGCCCCCAGCAGCATGATGTGCCAGATCAACAGCCAGCACAGCTGCGGGGGCGGCGCGCCCTCAGCTGCGTCTATGCCGGCCACCTCTACGTCGGCGCTCTCGCCGTCCAGTTGGGACTTCGCCCTCCGCCCATCTCTCATATGCTTGTTCCCGCTTCAACCACTCCTGGTATTTATACCACCATTCCTCCCATTTCACGTAATCCGGTAATGATAGACCACGTAAATAACCTCGTCTTTTGTAATGTTCGTATCGTACTCTGACGTCATCCCAGGCGGGTAATCCAGCGGGTGCTTCCAGTGCGGTCGGGTAACTCCCTACTGGAGCGACAGGCGCTGCAGGGGCAGGGGATGGAGATCTTGCACCTTCTATACGCACATGTAGAGTTGCTTCCCTTCTTGTTATCCGCATATTTTCTAAACGAGCGGATCGATCGAGTGACCATTGCGCCATCTTGCCGAAACGTTCAGATAAGGTCAACCGTTGTGGAGCTGGTGACGCGCTCCTTTCAGACTCCGAATCTGAAGAGGAGTCAGCCAGGGCTGCTGCGATAGCTGAAGGAGAGACTCCGCCCTCGCGTGCGGGACGCTCAGGGCGCTCCGGTCGGGGCCGCCGGCGTTCACCTTCACGCTTTATACCAACCACGTCCATTTGTGTGCGCTGCCATTCTAACACCTGAAATTATAATTAAATTAGCAGTTGCAGCAGTAGCAGTTTTCATCGGGATCCGTTTAGTCACATCGGAGATACTTGAACATATCATATCTTATCCATATCCATCCATCCATCCAAACACTCGCATTTATAATACTTATTACAATAGCTAAATACCAAAAAGATTTCAACCGTTACAAAACAACCACCAACACAATATTTAATCAACTACAGCAGTACTTTTGTGTCAAAAAATGTGTCACCATGTCATACCTTCTCTTCTCTGGTCCTCTTGCTGGCCTCCCTCGCTTTCAACAGCTCCCGTGTGGGCTGTACAGCACGCGGGGCACTCGCGACAGGCGCGGGGCGCTTCGCCACCGGACGCGGTGGAGACTTCGACCTGTTTACAATAGTCTGTATTTTAGCGTAAAATATGAAATGCATTCGACAAAACAAACAAACAGTTCTGAATTCGATAAAATAGCGAAACAAATGCCATAGAAATCCGCAATTACATGCCTTAAATCGGCGGAAGGACGCACAGAAACGGGGAATATCCCCTTCCTATGCGTCCCTACCACAATCAAACCCAATTCCCTATCTTATCATTGCATTATAAGGGTGGGAAGCGAAAGAGGACTAAAATAAGTCCTCTGGCACACACACTCATCAGAGTGTAGTTGGAATGACTTCGCACATGAGGCATGTGTTGTGTGAACTTCCTAGGTCCAGAGTACAACAGATCTTATTGCTAGCATGTACTGCTGTTAAATTTCCACTAATTTTCATCAATTTGTTTACTATATTACGTCTTTGTTGATTAGTTACAAGTTTCAGGTCTTAATGTAAGGAACATACCCTGGTTTCACTGCTTTTGGTGGTGCTGTCTTCTTGTTCTTAGCCGAGCACACGGAGCAGGATTCATCAGAACAGCTGCTCACCGATGACCCTGATGGTGATGACTGGAAATAATATTATAGTTTAATAGATATATTATGTGACATAATACATTTTGTTTCTGTCTAGTTAAGATTACCTATTTAAAATTCATCAGCTCACTATAAGTACCCACTGCGGGCCTCGGAGCCTACCCTGAGTTATGTGACTAGGTCATAGTCACATAACAGGTCCAGTGAGGTAACACTTCACAGATATGCGCAGCATCACCATCTTTACTTAACGGTAAGAACGTAAGACTGTACACATGTAAATAGAAAACACATTGAACCTAGGCCCGGCAGATTACAAGTCAAGTGCTTAACCCTTGAGCCACTGTCACTCTAACATTTTAAAATTAAAATAATAATATAAACATGATACCTTTCTAGGGTCCGGAGGAGAGGGTGGTCTAGCGCCGCGTGGCGGAGGCGGCGGAGGCCTAGGTCTGCGGCGAGGGCTCACTCGACGCCGGGGACTCCGCACTGGACTGCGCCTACTGTCATAAAAAAGTACTTAAAAATTGACACACCTTTTAATATAAATAATTGAATAGTTTTGGTTTTATAAAAATTTCTCAACGTAGATGCGACCAAGGAGGGTACACAGAGACTGTTATACATGATGTGGCAAAATACCTGACAGGGCTCCGTCTTGGTGACCTACGGGGGCTCCGGCGAGGTGTACGCGAGCGAGACTTGCGGGGGCTGCGTCTCGGTGTGCGGGAGCGCCGAGCTATTGGAGACCTGGAGCGACGGCTACCCGGTATTGGTGATCTAATGAAATTGATGATGGAATTAGTGGTGATTTTAAACGAAAACCCTAAGTTTATTTGGAAAAATAATTAGTCTGTCCGACTTGCTTAATTCCTTGGCAGTGGGTAAAATATAAATCTTACTAATATTATAAATGCGAATGTGTTTGGATGGATGGATAGATGTTTGTTTGAAGGTATCTCCAGAACGACTGAACCGATCTTTCACACATAGGCTACTAATTTAGTTGTTTTTATTACGAGCGGACAAAGTCGCGGGCGACAGCTAGTATAGATATAAAATAAAAACCATAATTATTTTCACAATACACAAACTGCAAATTTCATTACTTTATAAATAAAACAATATAGTGTCCAACATGGACCTCGAGTAACTTAATTTTGGTCTTGGATTGAAATCTTAGTAATATTATAAATGCGAATGTTTAGATGTATGTTTGTTACTAAGTATCTGCAGAAATGCTGCATCATGGATCTTGATAAAATGTAGCATAGATATGGAACTCAGTCTAAAACACATAGTCTACCTATCTTCCTAGAAAAATGCACTATTTATTTGATAACTCCACAATGTTTCAACACATCTTATTAAAATTTGACACATATATAGAACATAGTCTAGACTAACACATGAAATTTCCAGTCATTTTAAATCCTGGACAAAGTCATAGGCAAAAGCTAGTACAATGCATACCTAGAGCGCCGGGGCGGTGGGGAACGGGAACGGCGTGGGGATACGGAGCCTGAGCCATCTAGATATAACTGCTTGTATCCAGTGTGACGCCATCTAGTAACAAAATATGTATTTTTTTTTTTTTTTTTTTTTTATCAAAAGGTGGCAAACGAGCGTGCGGCCACCTGAAATCACTGAAATAGCGAAGTGACCGTTGCCCATAGACATACGCAATTGCATATGCGTTGCCTACCTTTAATCGACGGAGGAGAGGATGCACACAAAGAAAATATCTTCCATTTCCATGCATCCTCTCATCCGGAAAGTCTACTTTCACTTCCCATCCTTGCCTTATAAAGAAAAGGATGGGAAGGGAAAGAGGACTAAATTAGGCCTCCGGGACGCACACTCATCAGACGAAACGCGGAATTGCATCCACTTCACGCCTGTCTTCTGTGTGGTCGTGGTATTTCACCGGGCGAGCCGGGCCGATTCGTGCGAAGATGTTAAAGCGGGCTCTACCACTGTATAAATTAATAAGTAGCCTATGTATTCTTCCGGACTATGTTCTACATCTATGTCAAATTTCATCAAGATCTATGCCGTTCCGGAGATATGTTCAAACATCCATCTGTACATTCGCATTTATTTTAGTAAGATAACCGATATCTCAGACAACAACGCCATCTATCTTCTTTCAATCAAACCTAAATAATTTACACCATAGACAAAATGCATTTTTTACACATAAACTAGTAAATTATATACTAGACCGCAACTCCATTTGTGTTGAATTAAAAAAGGTTAAGTATGCTATCTTCTGACTATGTTCCAAATCTATGACAAATTTTAGTTAAATCCATGCAGCCGTGCTGGAGAAAAATTCTAACATCCATCCATCCAAAGATTCACATTTATAATATTAGTAAGATTAGGCACTATACTTAGAGACACTAAATTCACAATATTATTTCACTTTACTTAAAAATTTTCATAAAACTTGACCGATGACTATTGTACAAAATTTGACACGCCTTTATTTACTTATTTTATGGTCAAATTGAAGGATAATTCAACATGTTTATATACATACCTATTAGGATCCTTCTCTTCAACTTCCAGAAGTTTCCTGTCCCAGCTGCCGGGCGAGGCCTGGCGCGCCCTTTTCATCACATTGTCGATTTCTTTACGTCTACCCGCAGGATTGGATGGATCTGTAACAAATTAGTGTTATAAATAAAAATATTAATCTTATATTAACTTTACAGAGTACAAACCACATACCATTTTTTAATTTTTAATCTAAATCTTCTTTGGCATGATGGAAACATTTTATTTTCTACAATATCCCAATCCGCTATGGAAGAATTATATACAAGAAACATTTATCTTTTTATTGAAACCTTTTCAATAGTTTTAGTACAAATAAGACATACAAACAATATAGTACTTTTCACATATCTCAACAGCTCTTAAGTTAGCGTGAATCACTGCACAGAACACATACTTGCACAGCGCACCGATAACCTTAGGCTGCCAAGATATTTGAAAAGAATTATACTTGGAATTGCATAGATAGAGGATGTCTAAATAAAGATTACCACAACAACAATTTATTTTAAACTCCTGTTTATTTTTTTTAGACCTCTTTTTTTTTTATTGACCCACTAAAACCCTTGGTGGTCAACACTACTGAAGACGGTTCCAGGATCTAAAAGGAACACACCTGAACACTTATTTTCTGAGACCCAATGAACTACAAATTATCAGGACCTACAGTACATACCAGTCATCCGTGAGTGAGTTGGATTGCGGTCCATATGCAGCCTGTTCTTAGAGGCTGCCTCAGCTGCCCGCGACACCGACCCATTACGTCGGGAAGACATCCTGTAGAAATAAATGCATTATAACAATAGTAATAGTAGGGCTATGGTAACATATGGATCACTCCAGCCAACACAGCTAACCAAAGAACCAGTACACCAGCAACATGTAGAAGTTGCTGGTGTACTCCGGGAGCGATCTCGAGGAGCCAAGATTCCTAACCCTGTAGTTAGTCATTGCTAGGTATTATAACAATACTAGCGGTCGCCAGTAACACCGTTCGCGCAGAATGAAAATAATAATAATAGCCTATGTGTTCTTCACATTATGTTCCATATGTACTCTGAATTTCATTGAGATTTGTTGAGCTGTTCTGAAGATACCTTCAAGCAAACTTCCATCCATCTAAACATTCGCATTTATAATATAACTGGAGGATATTTGCTTAAATTCAGATATGATGGCCAATAAAAATGTATGGAGGATGCTGGAATAGTCATAACCTTGACAAGGAACTGTAGTTAGAGATTATGGATTCGCATCTCACTAATACATTCATAGTGCAGTTGCAAACTTATCATAATCTACACTAGCTGTTGCTCATGACTTTGTATGTGGCATTAAATAAATGTGGTAATAAAAATAACCTTTGTGACACAATAATAGTGTGGCGTCACAACAGTTAAAGAATTTTTCAAATCAGTTTATTTTTGAGGTTAGTTTTGGAGCTTATTCAGTGCAAAAACAAATTATTCCTCATTTCCACATCATCATCATCTCACTAAACGTCCCCACCGAGGGGCTCGGAGTCTACCCTAAGTTAAGGATGATGAGGCCATAGTCAACCACGGTGGCCAAGTGCGGGTTGGTTGACTTCACACATATCTTTGAATTTCCATATACTGTATAATATTTTATAATGTTCAAAAATTCTTCTAATTCTGATTATCATAATATTAGCTTGTAAGTTTTACCATCAGTTCATTGTAGTGCCTTTTTGGTCTTATATTATATTTTCAAAGTATTTGAAAGAGAAATTGTCTATATGTTTGTTAATGTTGGCTCAGAATTGTATATAAACAAAATTCCTTATAGATAATTTATAAAATATTGTACTTCCAAGATATTTTTTTATTATAAAACTACAACTGCTACAATAATTTACTTACTAATTATGTAATTTCTCTATCTGTATAATATTATATATTACAAAACCATGTGGTTTAGTAATATACAATGGCTTTATTTATTGGTGTGAAATACTTACGTCTACAATGAAAATCGTGAAAGAAAAAAAATATATACGACATGTTTACTGGAAAGATCGACATTTTAACTCCAACTTGATTAAAAAGATATTTTGTCTCCCGAAATCTTATTATAATGAAATTTATAATTGCTAATTGTATACGTAATTAGTTATTACTGTTACTGTGTCCTACAATTCTATTTTTACTTTCACAAAATGGCTGCCTGTAGTATTGATCGCCTACAACTCACCTGGAATAAAAAGCTTACCTTTAAGGCTCCGAGAGCGGTTTTTAAGGAGCGAGGGCTCCAAACGCGCGCGACGAGACGCGAGGGGCGAAGCCCCGAAGCAGACGCGGGCGTTGCCACGCGGCGGGGCTGACGATACGCCCGGCGCCGCTGCAAGACAACCGATACGCATAAGCATCACGAAACGCGGGCGCGGCGGATGCTGTGCGAAATTTCGCTGTCGCGCGAAAGACGCTAGCGCGAAGCGTCTCGGCCTCCGGTCTCCGGGGCGGAGCGAGCGCGGAACAAGCAGATCGCGGCTGCCGAGCCACCCATCCTTTGTCTCCTCCATCGGCTGAACATCAAACATACTAAATCCACCTTAATAAATCACAAAACAAAGTTACGAACCAGTAATAATATAACACGATAACTTTCACTGAAGTTCAGATATTCCCAGAAGATAACTTGTTTTTCACTCCCGAGACACACCTTACACCTTTCTCGAAGCATCGGCCATTTTGTTTTGCAAAATGTAAAGTTGACCTTTTCTTACGAGCGCGACGTTTTGCTAAATGTGAATTTTAATTTTTTTTTGTATTGGTATTTCTGTTCAATTTTTTTTACTAAATTTGACAGTGTATCTTTCTAAAATATAGTACAAAGAAAATATACTATAAAATAAGAAAAGTCGTTCTAAAATAAATAAAAAAAACTTGAAAGTTTTCTACAGATACTACGATTTTCGCAATATCAAAACGCAGAGATGACGTTCGTTTCCAAACCAGTGCTGCCATTAATTCAAGTTACTATTTTGGTATAAAATACCTAAGAGGAAAATCAAAATTACTCTCAGGTGCCAAACAAAATCTAAAGAGAGTCAGCCCTTTCCTTCCAACATCTGCTAAGATATAAATTCATAATGAAGATCTGTGTTATTTGAAAGTACCAGAAAGGTAAATACATATTTCAGAGTAAAAGCAGACTTCATTCTTCTTCATTTATGGAGCTTGGTAGGAAAAATTATTTATTGGTAGTTATTTCATGGAATGTCACGGCTGTCCACATTAAAAGTTGTTGTATGTTAAAAATTAAAAAAAAACAGTGCATCTACAACTCTTGAGCGATGAGGGAGTGTCGCTTGCACTTATAATCTTAAGTTAGTTTTATTTAGTAAATGTTTATTTTATAGCTATAAAATATTAAACATAATTTAGAATGAATTAAATATAAATAATATATAAAATTACCTAATAATGGTACGATAATCGAATTAGAAATATAAGCATACATGAAATATATTAAAGTAAATGATAAAGCGACTATAAATATACAATATTCAGTGATATATAACACTATATAACAAATACATAGGACGATACACCAGCTTGGCGACTGCAAGAATTCTGTAAACGGAAGGGAAGGTAAGTTTGAAACTTTTTTTTTAAATAACACACAAATTAATGACGTTCTGCCAATATTTTGTTTATATTTTTGACTTTAACTTAGTATTTAGAATGCATTTTATTAATTTGTTTTGTTGACCTTCATCAGTTTAAGGTCATAAAAATTATGATGCCACGTATTCGTTTATTCAATTTCTATAGGCAATGATACTACGACCTTTCTGACGGAATGTTAGAGAAATTTATTCTATGAAACTATATTTTTGTAGTCTTCGTCGTCTAAAACTAGCTTCAGGATACGTCCACCTAAATTAGATGTCTTTACACCCCAAACTTTACTATTATACTACTAGTATTGGGGTTGATGGTTTTTATTTTTTAATGTATTAATGAAAAGAAATAGATTAGGCATAATTTAAACTCCCAGATGGCCTGTTTAAAATTATCCCTAGTTATTATACTGTTTTGGCTCACTGGCTCCAGTTACTGTTAATATTATGCCAGTCCTTATCTAGCCAGCGCTACTATGCTACTGTACTGGCATAATGTAAGCCCGGCATTAGTTATTAGTTTAATATGGGCTATGAATAAATAGAAGACGACTGTACCCAATCGATTTTGAGTATTTAATTTCTTTTTACGGAGGAAAGTACAATATTAGATTCAATACTTCAGATCGGTAATTTTCTTTTTTTAAATTAATGATAATATTCAGGTAAGTAACGTTGGATTATCTTAAACATTTTAGAGAGACAAAAAAATTCCAGCAACGTCACGAATGGTCACATCGTACGTGCTTTTATCGAAAAAAAAAAACATTCGTGCGCGCTCTTACACGACATATTCCCGCCATATTTGATGACAGTTTTTGCCTTATTGAAAAATGTCTACACGAGAATCGTTTAAAATAATTTGTAGAAATGCAAGAAAAGGCTTCTCCAGTGGCCCAATACGAATGTATTTTTTATTTTATCTTATTAATATTATAAATGCGAATGTTTAGGTGGATGTGTGCTTAGAAGATATCTCCGGAACGGATCAATGGATCTTGATGAAATTTGACATAGTTATTCCGTTTTTTTTATTCCGTGTGGACGGAGTCGCGGGCGCATGTTATTTTTAAATATTATCAATAAGATTATATAGATTAAACAGGATTAGTTTGTGCGAGAAAGTATTTCAAGAGCCATTCCCGCCACGGAGTGTAAAATAAATTGACAAATTTCGTCGATAATGTAACTAATATTATATCGAATTTTTTCGTTATGAGTCCCGCAAAAGTTTTGTTTATGTTGTAGAGCAGACGAGATTTGTGCCAGGATTGTGTCAAATTGTATTCTATAATCTCTGCCTAGACCTCTAGGTGCGATTGCGTTCACCTAACCATGTTTTATCTAGCATCGTGCAGCAAATATAACATTAAATATAAATTACCCTTATCTATGCATAATATTTGCATGTTTTCTGTGACCCTAAGTTATCTACGGAAATGTCACTTTCTGGAGGAATGTCACATCTGTAGTTTAAAGTAAATAAGACGTAATAAATATTTATATTTTCTTGACTTACAATCTTTATATGCCTAAATAGTACTTAATAATTTACTAAAATGTATTATTCAAATGAATTTAATTTAACGTTGGTAGAGACTTCTTTAACATCTTCGCACGAATAGTCCCAGCTCGCCCGGTGAAATACCACGACCTCTTACCCTTCCCAACATTTTTCTTATAAGGATATAGAGGGTTCATGGAAAGGGAAAATATTTTCTTTCTGTGCATCCTCTCCTCCGTCGATTAAAGGTAGGCAACGCATATGCAATTGCGTATGTCTATGGGCAACGGTCACTTTGCTATTTCAGCGATTTCAGCTGCTAGCTCGTTTGCCACCTTATGATGTAAAAGGTAATCCCTTTAGGCAAGGTTTCGAAGAAGGCAGTGTTCCCCCTTTGAATAGCTAGACTACTTTGTTTGTGGTTGCTGCCGGATCGGTCTCATGTGATGTCGACTATTTTTTTGCTATTTCCTTAAAAAGCCTTATAGTGCTAGGACCCCACAGACTAACATTACTTCTTAATAATAATATAAATGCGAAAGTTAAGACAAATGGATGGAGAAGTTATCTCCAAAGCGGTTCAGTAGATTTGGGTGAAGTTTGGCATAAATGTAAAACAGTCTGGAAGAACATAGATTACTATTTTTTAATTCCATCGCTGACTACAGCTGATAATATACAAAAGACATGCGACATCTGCATGATCTATGAACAGGTTTTGCCAACCTGTTGCTAAGGACGTCAAAACATGTTTTTAAATTTGTTTATTTAGTAGTAGTATAGAATACTAGTTGTTTCCCGCGACTCAGTGAGCGCTGTATCTTCAGAACGGATCGAAAAATCAAAAGATTTTTTGACACGGATATAATATATAGTGTGTAATTCCGTGCGGACGAAGTCGCGGGCAACAGCTAGTTGTTAAATAAATTTAGGATTAAGCTACATTTATCACAATAAAACTAAATAATCGCATAATTTTCTTAAAAATATAACGTTATGTCCGCCATGTTGGAATTTGACGTTACTCTGTTAATGTCGGCTTTAGATCGAAAACAAACTATAAAGTGTAGAGAATAAGGTTGAAATTCCAATATGTAATCTTACATCAATTTCAAAAGAAATCACATAACTCATAGTATTACACCGCCTTATAGTTATAAGCTTATTAATATTATAAATTACATCGTCTGCCAGTTTGTAAACGCTTAAGTAATATAAGGCCCTTCATACACAAAGCGACTAGTATTGCGCGTGCAAGATCGTCGAGAGAAAGTCGAAATTTTCAAGATGGCGGATCAAAACTATACAGCTGACATGTCGTTAGACTTTTATACCTATAATAGTTGTGTCAATCGCCTTAGTATGTTATCGTAATTCATATCAAAATTAGTATAAGATTTTTGGTGTATTTTACATCTGCTGCACAAATATTTATCGATGATAAGATGGCGATTGTCATTATTATGCTAGGCCCACTATACTTGTTAACAGACGACTTCCGACGAATTAAAATTGTGTACGAGCAACGCGGCTCTCGCGAACATACAATTAGTTTTGACGGTGTAAGACCGCCTTAAAATGATATACGTAATACCGTTATAATTATAATAGCTTCTATTTTTAATTTATTGATATGTCATAGGAAGATTAATAAATAAGAATCTTGTAATAATTGTGCCGATACTAATGTAGAAAACATATTTTCATCTCTGTTGTATATGGACAGGCTATCGGCCATCTTATTTTGTGCCTATTTGATTTTTGCCATATTAGCGCTGAATGTAACAATGGTGAGGATACCAACTAATAATAGATAAAGAGTTAACTGTCAGTTTCATCAATAGGCGAGTTTATTACGGTTTAGAAACAAAAGCTGCCCCCTCCCTAAACCCCCCACGACCCTTGCAACGCAAAAAGGTTGTATTTTGCCTTGAATATCATTATACTACAGGCAATCTAGTTTTTTTTAAGTTCATAATGGTCAGGGATCAAGCACTTGACTTGCAATCTGCAGGTCCTGGGTTCGAATCCCGCCATGTACCAATATGTTTTTCGATTTACATATTTTCGAATTACATTTATCCTATGTTCTTACGGTGAAGGAATACATCGTGATGCTGCACATATATATGTGTGAAGTCAACCAACCCGCACTTGGCCAGCGTGGTTGACTATGACCTAATCACCCTTAACTTAGGGTAGGCTCCGAGCCCCTCGGTGGGTACGTATAGCGAGTTGATGATGAATGGTGTAAGAGTACAAGAGCTTCGGCTATGGAAAGTCATGGATTTATCTCCTGTTTACTCCGATTTCGTTAAACTGTCGTAATGTTTGTATATTTAAGGGTAACATAAGACAATGCACTTAACTAACCTCTGTTATAAAGATATTTTTTTTTAATTAATAAAAATAAATATTTCGATAAAAAAATGTCAAAGATCAAGTGAGTTAGTAATTAAAAGAAATAAAAGTTTGTCGACCTTTTAATAAGCTGATTGAGAAAGACAGATCGGGAATTACTAATCTTACTAATATTATAAACTAGCTATCGCCAGTGACTCCGTCCGCGTGGATATATAAAAAAAGAAGTTAATCAAGTAAATTCAATTTCTTCAATGCGCAATTTCTTGCTTCGCACAGTCGCTTTGTGGAACGGTCTGTCCTCGGTGGTATTTCCAAATCAATACGACTTAGGGACCTTCAAGAAGCGAGCATACCATTTCCTTAAAGGCCGGCAACGCATCTGCAGTTCCTCTGGTGTTGCAGATGTCGATGGGTGTCGTTGAACACTTCGATGTTACCGCCGCTCGTTTGTCCCCTTCTCTTATATAAAAAAAAGTACACAGAAATGATAAAGTAAGAAAAATCACAAGACTGAGAACTCATCCAATCCGTTTGCAATACTATAAGGAAGGAAAAACCTTGGTTTGGTTTTAGTAAATGTGTTTTGAGTGTGTGTAGAGCGTCGGTGGCTCAGGGGTCAAGCACTAGACTTGCAACCTGCATGTCATGGGTTCGAATCCCGCCATGTACCAATGTGTTTTTCCATTTCCGATTTACATATGTACATTTATCCGACGTTCTTACGGTGAAGGAAAACATCGTGGTGCAACCTGCACATATCTGAGAAGAAATTCAAAGATATGTGTGAAGTCAACCAACCCGCACTTGGCCAGCGTGGTTGACTATAGCCTAATCACCCTTAACTTAGGGTAGGCTCCGAGCCCCTCGGTGGGGACGTACAGAGAGCTGATGATGATGAAATGTGTTTTGCTATCAATTACTTTTGTTTATAATTTTCTGGAGCTCCAAAATCGGACAATATTAGGTAATTAATTTAACTTACTTGTTATAATGAAAAAACAAATAAGAAAGGATATATGAACAAATGGTTTAGCCATTGGTGTAATGCTTTCTTTTGTTTTATCTCTTTCCTCTATTAGTCTTTCCCAAAGTGTGCGATA